GGGCTGATGCAGCACTCACACCATCTCCCCGCCCTTCTCTTGCACAGGATGAGTGTATTTACAGAGTGAGGACCCTGGCCCCCGGCTGAGTTGCTTCATTAAGCTGCTAAACTTCTCAGGTTGACATAATGTGTTAACTATTACAACACATTAATCTAACAAAAAGAAAATCATGTCATCATATCCTTGGATGTTGAAAGGTATTAGCATCCAATATCTATTTTTAAAAATTAAAGATTATAGTACAGGGAAATTGACATTCTGGGGTGCATAGTTCTTGAATTTTAAGACATGTATAGATGGACGTAACCATTATCATATCAGTAAACTGAACAGTTGCATCACCCTCAAAGCTCCTTGGTCTTAAGCTTTGGTAAATTGTACATCCCCACACTTGTACCACCTGGGAACCACTGACCTTTTCTCTAACACTTTAGTCTGTGGGAATGTCATTTGTCTTAGTCAATTTTCTTGTTGTGAAGGTAGAAAAGGTTCATTTTGGCTCACAGTTTATAGAGGTTTCAGTCCCATCAGTTGGCTCAGAGGCAGGGGAGCAAGGCAGACAAGTGGCTCATGATAGCAACTGCCCGGGAAGTAGGAAGAATGAAACGAGTTGCAGAGAAGAGACAAATCCTTCCAGGGCACAGTTTTAGTGACCTACCTCTTCCAACCAGATCCAATCTCCTAACAGCGTCATTTGCCAACTCATCAATGAAGTAATCTATGAGTATTATGTTCTGTGGGCTAATCATCTCCTTGAAGTCCACCTATGAGCACCAAAGCTTGGGGGAACATTTGGATGTAAACTATAACATCATATTGGAGTTATACTAAATTGAGCTCTTTTCAAACACCCAAGTCATATGAATTAGTAATGCTTTTATTACTGAATATTTTCCTTTGTATGTTACACTTCGATTCAGGACATCTGGGTCGCTTCCAGGTTTTCATGTATTAACACTATATATGGATTTTTGTGTGAATGTTAAAGTTTTCATTCCTTCAGGGTGAATACCTAAGTATGGGATTTACTGGGTCATGTGGTAATTTGTATTTTATAAGAAACTGCAAAACTGTTCTTCAGAACGATGGTATCATTTTACAATCCCACCAGAAATGAGTTTCAGTAGCTCCTCATTCTTGTCAGGACTTGGTAATTTCAGTTATTTTCACTGAAGGCATTTTAATAGATGTATAGAAGTATCTCACCATGGTTTTACTTGCATTTTCATAAATACATTCAACATCTTTTCATGTACTGATCCCCCATATGTATTATTTTTGGCTAAGTGTCTTTGTCCCATTTTTAAACTAGTTATCTTTTCATTGTAGGCTCTTAAGAATTTTCCTAGACAATTCTTGAGATAGGTGACTCACATTTTCACCTAAAAACTGACTAGCTTTCTTTTCATCCTCGACATTGTCTGTTTTTGAAAGTCAAACATCAATTTCTTTTGTGAATTGTGCTTTTTATATCTAAGAATTCTGCCTAACCTCAACCCACAAACATTTCATCTTACATGTTCTAAAAGTACTTTTATATTAGATCTATGACTCAAGCTACTTTTTGTATAAGGTGAGATTTTGGCTGAAGTTCATTTATTTTGCCTGTGGCCTTAATAGTTCCAACATTATGTTGAAAGGACATTTTTTTCTCCACTGAATTCCCTTTGCACCTGCTTCCTCCTTTTTGATTTGTCTGAAATGAGATTGGTAGAACTGAACATTTGGTACAATTCATTAGTGAAACCAAATGGGCCTGATTCCATTAAGTAAGAATTCCATTTCTTTAGCAGTTATAGGACCACAAGATAGATCTTTATTTCTTGACTTTTCAGGACAGGCAATTTACCATAGGCCTGAAGCATCTCTGACATTCTTCAGGGTACACCTGGAATCAAGCTTCTAACTACTTTACTGTGTGCTATCTATGTCCTGAGGAGGTAATGTTCCTCTCCACAAAGAGCCAGGTACAAAGGTGATAAATTAAGGATGGGGATCAGTTCACTGCCAGCATGCCTCAGACTCTGGGTTCATTCCTCAACCAAATAAAAAAAATTACATGCTAAATTATCCAAGCTCAGCATTTCTTGCCAGGAGTACAAATCTACTGCATGTGTATTTACAGTTGTGCCTACACTGAAGTTGGGTTGTATGTGTAAACCAACAAGAAACTCATGATGCTTGCTATAACATAACCAGCAGTCCATTTTTTATTGTACAGAATACTACACACTGGGTGGTTAGTAAGTTCAATTAGCTCACAGTTCTGGATGTTGTAAAGTCCAATAGCACAGGGGCATGCCTGGGAAGGAAGGCCTTTGTGCTGCATTAACACTGCTGGAGGAAAAAGAACGAGCTCATGCAAAAGAGAAAACATGTGGCACCCTTTAAATTTTTTTTAAACAAACTACTTTCCTGGTAGTACACACCTTCGGGACAAGGGAATTAGTCCATTTAGGAGGACCCTGCCCTCATAAGCCAATCACTTTTCACTAGACCTCACTCTCAACGCCGAGATCAAGCTTGAGGATCAAGCTTCCCACACAGAATCTGGGGGACACAGCCAAATTACAGCAACTTTTCATATTAAAGCAGGGTAAAAACTCAGACTATCCTTCATGACACACAGGGCAGTTAGGCACAACAAAGAAAAAAGACAATGTTATTGATTAGGAGGGTGTATCCATGAGGGTCCTGCAGAGCAGAAGCTCTAGTCTGTAACAGCCCTCTGATCTAACACAAAGCACCTACAGGGATTATAGACAACTGCTTTTGTGTCTGACATGATGCAAAATGGGGGAAACTGGAAACAGGCTAGGATTTGTAGAACCTGAGGGGACCTAATGAAACTGGGAAGGAAACCCATCCCAATTTCTCACCTCTTCCAATTGTCCCAGAAGAACTATGGGACTGTCCTGCAGAAGCTGGCATCCTATAACCCAGGAGTAAGAGAAGCAGAAGAGCTAGGGCAGGAGCTGTAGTCCTACAGACCTGACTACTGTCTCACAGGCCAAAATGAGCCAGTGAGCGACAAGTGCCCTGCTTGGAACTTCTAATTAAAGAATCTCTGCCCTGCGTGGAACTTCTAATTAAATAAAGAATCTGAGCCCAGCTGCTAGTTTACTTCTGCCTTCTAAATCTCCTAACATTTCCTAAAACCCATCCTGCTCTGGGTTTCTGGGGAGCACATCTCCAGATCGACTGGATTGGCACATAAACCACCGGAAGGTCTGAGGTCTCTGACAGACACGAGCTAAGATGCTGAAGGCTGAGGACTTGGCCATGCAACCATGTCAAGATTTAGAAATGTCCCAGCCAGAGGAGATGATCATGCCAAGTCAGTGATAAACTCTGGATTTTTTTTTTTTTTTTTTGACAAAGAAAGGACAATGAAGCTGGGGCATGATGGGAGGAGGTGTCACGAAACAAAATCACAGAGAGGCAGGCACTAGATCCAACAAGCCCTGCAGCACATGTGCAAAAATGTGAGTACTTCCTTTTCCTAAGTTCAAAAGGAGGAAAATGGAAGTTTTTCTCAGGATTGTAGTAGTTGGATCTGATATACACATATTTTAAATTTTGCATTTTAAAATAATTTCAAACATAAAAAAGGTACAAGCACAAAGAAATGCTCTACGCCCATCACCGGGCTGATTTCCTTTTTAGAGATTGTTCTGGCTGCGTAAATGGCTCACCACCAGGACTGCTTCCTCTACACTTGCAGGCCCTTCACTGCTCCTAGGGCATACAGTACTGGATGTCCAGCAGCCCGGGTATGCGAGCTGTGACATCACTTAAAGAGCTACGGCAAGCGTGCAAGCCACAGGGTTTCCAGATAAATCCACCACACAGGAAAGTCAATCTCATCAATTCAGGAACTACTTTGAAGGCAATAAGATTCACTAAGATACCCATTCTGGTTTGACTATTGTCTTCTTTGGAAGTCCTGTAATGTTTTCAATGCCTAAGTTTTATTGGTCTTGTTCTCTACTGTTTTGTCCAACTTTATAATATCTAATGAGATAGACAATTCTTTTTAAGGAAACAAGAGACAACGTTGATAACCATTGTTGATAACCTTGTACTCTGTTCTACACCATGTGCTATGTCTATCCTTGGTATTGACAGCTTTGTTTTGCCATGTTTGACTGTATTCTCTCCACCCCCCCAAAAAAGTAATAAGCACTAAGGAGTAATAAAATCCAAAATGTGTAAATTTTGTTGTAAAAAAGAGAGGGAAAAAAAAGAAAAAAAGCTCTAATGGGTATAACAGCAAGTGTGTTTAGGGGTGTTAAATAGCTGACTATATCAATGTTTTTGGATCATTGAACACAGCTGTTTGCAGTCTCCCTGTTTGAATGCCCACCTTGTATTCTTTGATACTGTGATTTGAGCAACTATTTTCAAGATGATAATATGTAATCTATTAACAGGTGATTTCTTACTGTTATGTTTTTTTTTTTTTTTTTTTGTAGTTCTGTATTACGTGTACCCTTACACCGCTTTGTTTTGTTTTGTGTTTTTCTCTTTTTCCTCTTAAATTAAAAAAAAAAAATTCAGTGTCAATTCACAAATTCACACTGGAAGACAAAACAGTATTTACCTATTCGGATCTGGCTTCCAGCTGATTGTTTCTATTGTCATCTGTTCTCAAAACAAAACAAAAAATTCTCTAAGATGTGACAGAGAAGCTATGTAAGACAATGTTTTACAAATAACTCCAGGTTTCCAAAGAATTTCCAGAGAATGTGTAGTCTCGTAAGGGCAACCTGCTGGAAGAGCCCGTGTTCACTGTGAGGTGCGGGTTCTAGTTTCACCAGCGTTGACCTTAGACTTTGTATCTTCTATTTTCATCAGACTTTGCTTACTTTACTTGAGATTATGAAAAATTTCCTTAAAGCAAGCACTTCTGCATCTGGATTAACTGTCCCTGCTAACAATACTCTCTGGCTGAAAGCCAGGTTCAAATATTGAGTTTTTAAACATATTCAAGTACATTTAAGATTTCAGCACAATTCCAAAGTTTAATGTTCAACTCAACAGCTAAAATTAACTATTGACAGCTTTTAATGGTAAAATATATACACCTAGTACATACTCATTAAACCAGGAGAGTAAAGTAGAAAAACTTTAGGTGATCTCAGAGGAACTATTTCTTCCCTCCTATTCAGTTAAGCAGGGTTGGTTACTACAGCAGAGCTTAGTCAGGGCTGGTGCATAGCAAGCATAGTAGGTGTTCATATCACTAAACATGGAGAAATGTTCGCATTTTTCTTAAGGGGAGAAATGCTTCCAAAAAAAGGTGAAGAATCCTAGAAGACCATTTATCTTAAGAGGAAAAAAAAGTGTAAAATAGAGTTTTAAAAGAATATCTGACAGAGGAAGAAAAGTTGTTTTCTTCTTAATCAGAGTTTATGCTGTACACGTCTTTTTGTAATCTGCAGTAATAAATCTCCATAAAAACATTCAGAAAGAAAAAACAAGATACTGCGCCATGACTTACACACTGAAGTTGTGCCCCCATTGCTAACTTAAGATAGTTTTATACATTTATTAACAACTGTTTTCCTTCATTTCACAGTGGCTCTTCAGTAACAAAAGAAATTATCAGCAATTTCAACCATACATTAAACACCGTGTTAGTCTCACAAATGCAAATTTATCTTTTGATTAATTATTATGTTCTTTGTGTAAAATAACATAAAGCTTATTCCTTTTCCATTGTTGCAAGTTCACAAAATTTATGAAAAGCCTTCACTATTTTCATCTAATTAAAAGCAACTCAGTTGAACACGACAGACATCAACTACTATTACTGGTGAGATACAGTAAAATAAAAAGGGCAGTGTGACCACTCAGCAGATGCTACACACCTAAGACATACCTCAGACCTTCTAGTCTTAATCTGCAGCTTTCGTTTAATAAGTGATAAAGAACTATTAGATGATTCCTATCAGCAGGCTGAAATGCTACTTTGCCTTTTGGCTAGTCAGACACATATATTCTGCCTTTAAAATGAATCAGAAAACTTCATTTCTAACAAGTCTACATGCAAGGGAATAACAAAAACAGTCAGATAAGTTGCAATACATTATTTTAAATATCTAATGAAAAGGGTTAATTACCAGATTATTGCACCATTTCTTCCTTAACAATTAATAAGCAGATAAAAAGAATGTTTTAAATAAACCAGAGGTAAAGATAAAAATGCTTGAACTTGACAAACAGCAAGGGAATAATTTCATGGCAGTAAATATTAAACGGGACTATTGATTTTATACAACAGGTATTGACAAGCATACTCAATTACATCAGGCACTTGATAAGAATATTTTTTAAACAAGCATACTCAATACAGTCAATACAGGGGCATTACACACATACACACACACACATATGGCTTTATTACAAAGGATTCAAGATGGCAACTACTTAGAATCCAGTGCCAACTCGGATTATAACAAATCCAGTGAGTATTTTGTTTTTCAATTATTCATAGAAAATTTAATCCTGATTAAGTATCCTTGGGCAGGAATTCATGGGTAGTTGATGACTGAAACCAACATTTATGTGAAATGCTTCTGTTAATTTAATCTGTGTATATGGCTTAATTATGATTGGGGATTCAATGTAAGAGAAATGAATTATATCAGGATTAAATATTTTAGCAGCGTATCATATAGTTCCTTTTCCCTCTTTCTTTTTAAACATAAACCTACTTGTCCCTTCACCTAAGTACTCAGATTTAAAATCCTTTGTCCTTACAACCAATGTAATGTACCTGTTTTATTTTTCATAAATTATTTGTCAAAAATCCTTTGCTCGTCAAGCTAAAACCTGAACTAAAGCCAAAAATGAAATAAAAATTGGAAAATAATCCCACTCACAAATAAAACCTTATTCATCTAATTGAGAACATTTTATATTTATTTCTTGAAGTAATTTTCCTATTCTTTTAAATTCTGGTAGGAAATGCATTTCTTTTAAAGCATCAAAAAAAAGCACGTTTCAAAATCAGTGTATTACACTGATTTCATAATAGGAATAGCTTAGACATATATAAGCAAGTAATCATTTAACTGATTACTCTTAAAAAAGACTACCAAACCTGAGTTGGCTGTGGATATGAGGCATTGCAAGTGTTATCTTACCAACATGTAATATAATTCATTTGAAACATGGTGGCACATGCCTGTAATCCCAGCATTCAGAAGAGACTGAGGCAGGAGGATTGCCACAAGTTTGAGGCCAGCCTTGGGTACATAAAGAGTTCAAGGCTAGCCTGGACTACATAACAAGACTCTGTCTCATGAAAAACAAAAAGAAATTAAAAATAAAAACAAAGAAATTCTTTTTCATAATTATTTCCATATGGAAAGTCTTTCTATCACTTTATAACAACACTCTTTCTTAAAAGTTTATTATTTAAGTATATTTCAAAAACATTCACTAACTACCTTTGTAAAGTTTTGGTACTGCTTAAATGCAGTTATATAAATAACGCACTTTACTTTCACTATTGAATTTTTCATACCGAATGTATGAAAAAGGAGTCACTGTATTTGGACCCTTATTGCACCCTTTTAACCAATTCACTTTTTCTTTTAACAAAAACTATCAGAAGTGAGGTCGACTTTTGTGTGCAGATGATATGGTCAGTGGCAGGGTTACTGAGGAAAGCGAAGAAACTTCCCAGTAGAGACTGTGGGATAAGAAGAGTCTGTAGAGAATCACCATGGAAACAGACTGGCAAAGGATAACACCTATTGTAATAACCTGAAAAGAAAAGAAAAAGAATGCTTTCACTGCATGGTGAAACAGAGAAATTATACTCAATTTATCATGAATCATACATGCTTTTTCTACACAGTACTCGATCCTTCCTCTTTATTATAAGCACATTCTACTGAAAAGATTTCAGGAAAATATGACTTATGTTCAGAAATCTAACTGTCCAAGGGTAAAATTTCTGACACTTATGGTTTACAGACACCAAAGTAAGACACAAAAGAGTAATTTACTAAACAAAGCATTCTCTCCTAAGAATGTGCACACCATGGACAAGAGTTTCAGATTCCAGGCTAATGCAGTAAGAAGAAAAAGCATGCCCCTACCCAAATGCTAAATACTCTCAAGGCCCTTTCAAGATGGCTTGAGTCACTTCTCTCTTTCTGTGGACGACCTTTCTACTTATTTACGCTGTAAATACTTCGGCCTCAATATACAGTTGTGTTCAAGCACACCCAGCACTACCTGCGAAGGGCTTCTGGCAGAACTCCACCTTGAAATGGTGGAGCCACTCATCTAAGAAGGCAGATTTAAAATTCAGCATCCTTGAGCTGCGACACTTCGGTCTATAGGCTTGGAAGAACCAAGATTGAGTTTCTTAAGCCTGTCTGTATTTCTACCATTATGTAACCAAAATTTTTAATCATTTTTTCTTAACATAGATGTGTTATAAATTTTTAAATTTGGGGCTGAGGATGCAGCTCAGCAGCACAGCACTGGTCAGGCAGGTACAAGGCCAAGTTTAGTCCCCGGCACTGCAAAAAGGCCCCCTGTAATTTATAAAACCTCATTATGAAACAGGCTGATATAAGAACAAGGCCATTTCCATCATTTTGCTTGCGAATTAAAGAAAAAATTATTCTGTGCTTTGAACTTGTCCTGTCCACTGGTTAAACAGGTTGTTTCAAAGTTTTATTTTAAAGAACACAAGACACTTCTGAATGGATAAACAGGGCTTTCCTATGTTAATATTTTTTCAACAAGTATTTTTTCATTAAGGAAAAGTATTCTGACCACATATGACATATACTATTCCTTACCTTATCTCTTTGGTAGTCACTAAAAATGACAGAAATGCACGCTAGACTTGGGTGGCATAAAAACCACAAGATACAGCCCTGAAACAAATGAGTAATAGTCAATAGTGCAGTTATGCCTCTACTTTAAACATGTACCAAATAAAATGAATACTAGTTATTTAGGTTCTGATTGGCTAGAGAGTAGAGCTTGCAATACAATATAGAAATAAATTTACCATTGCTATAATACTTTGTTTCTAACTGAGTAAATTCTGGGAAGAATTTATAACCTTACATTTGTAGTGCTGTTACATACGCATATTTTGATACAGTGTAAATACATTAATATAAAAATTTGAGAAAAACAGGGACAAATGTATATCCCTGTAAAAAAGAAATAAGGAGTGAACAATGATATTTCCATGTGGATACACAAATTCTATAAAAGGACACAAAAATCTTCATTAAAGGTAGGCAGCTGTTGCCAGGGACACAGCTCAGTGGATAAGAGCCTGCCTGGCAGTGCAAGGTTTTAAGTTCAATTCCCCATTACCAGCTCCCCACCACCACCACCAAGGTAGTTAACTGTCTGAGAAATCCTATGCAGGAGGAGAATCTAAGCAGGTAAAAATGGCTAATGGTTTACACTTTTCAAATGCCCTTTTCTATTTCTCAAATGCCTCTTTCTATTTAGAAAAAGAGTCTTTTTCTAAAATTAACTTTGAGACGCTGATGTGATAATTGGAGTATTCTGAAGATTTAGGGGCAAAAAAGAGTAGAATAAAGGGCTAAGTGTATTATTCCTTACATTAAAATAGCAGGCACTAACTATGTATTACAAATTCTCCAGGAACTAGGGATGGTGGTCCATGCCTGCAACCCTAGCATTTGGTAGGCGGAGGCAAGAGCACTGTGAGTTTGAGGCTAGCATGGGCCACATGGCGAGTTCAAGGCCAGCCTGAGCTATAGTACATAGGAGACCTTGTCTCAAGAAACAAACAAACAAACAAAAACCTATAGGAAAATAAAGTAGGTACCAGTATCAGAAATTATATGAGGTGACAATGAAAAGACGATGGAATCAAGGTAAGAAGCACTTTTTGGTGCTCTTTAAATACTTTTGGATGTTTGACCCAGTGAAAAACTTAACTGTGAAACCAAAGAGGGAAACCTAATGCCTCAACACCTCCACTGTATACTACCTTACCAAACAACAAGTACTCCACCACTTGGCCCTTGGCCCTTGGCCCCACGGAGTACTCAGAGCCTGACACTGCTTCCAAGGGCCACAGCAGAAGCTCCGCCAGGCTCTGACGCCAGGAGTCAGGAGGGAATTTGGTCCCAGGCAGCCTCAGAGTGCTTGGACATCTTTCTGAGATGCTGACGTGAAGGGACACAGACTTACTCAACCTGACAGAAAAATGAAGCCTTCAAGGAAGAGGCTTCTGTAAGTTACTGCTCCAGTCCCCTTCTGTCCTTTTCTTGGACTAAAAGGCTATGAAAGGAGTCGAATTTGCTTTTAGATCTCTCAGCCCTGAGGAGGACATGGACAGGGGGAGAGAGCAGCCATCATCTTATAAGCAAAAGGTGTGGAAACATTCAGCCCCAACTTTCCTCACTTACGCTGGGGACAGCTCCCCACTGCTGCAACCCACCACGTAACTGACAGGAGCAGCCTGTTTATTGTGAAGAAGCTAAATGCAGAACATATTCTCATTTATTAAATATTCTAACACTATTGAAAAAACAGAAAATCTCTACTGATAAATTATGACTGAGGCAAAATTGACCTATCAAAGATTACCTGGAAAAATACATGCCCTGAAAAATAGGGATTCTGTAAAATGGGGCTAATACCATCTCCATTATGTAGGCTGGAGATTAAATAAGAAAAGCAAAAGGCGGGTTTAGTGTAGAGCCCCCAGAAGTGCCTGCAGCTGGGTGTGGTGCTGCACATCTATAACCCCAGCACTTGGGAGGCTGAGGTGGGAAAATTGGCAGGTGTCTGAGGCCAGCTTGGGCTCCACAGTGAGTTCAAGACCAGCCTGATACTTAGTAAGACCTTGTTTCAAAAAGCCAAAAAAAAAAAAAAAAAAAAAAACTGTGCTTGGCACATAATAAAAATTTAGCATGCCATTGTTATGATTCCCCACAGAAAGCAGAATGAAGTCGCTAATCAGAAGAATCCACTCTCTACCCCAATTCATACTTTGGCGAACGTGATGTAGAATTCTCTTTTGAGGGAGCTTCGCTCCACTGTGATGATCTGATAGAGTCCAAAGCCTAGTGACAGTGCCAGGCAGATTCTTAAGACGATCAGAAGGATCCCCGCTAAGCTGTGGTGGGAATGGGAGCTATGGTGACTGGCATCTTCAAACTGTTCCCAAAGTAGCAAAATACTCTGCAAAAAAAAAAAAAAAAAAAAAAAAAAAAATTACATTTAGAGGGGAAAATGGTAACTACTTACAATACTTTTTTCAACTCTTGTGAACAGTCCCTTAAGCATTATATAACCTGTATGAACATTATGTAAGTATTTCTGTGAGATAGAGATTGATCAGACTCAAAAGGCTTAATGACATCTACAGTAAAGTACAGTCAATTTTTTTCTCTCTCTAATAAGCATAAGCTACAGAAAAGGGATTTTTATCAAACGAGACAGTTTAAAAAAAAAGAAAGATGCTATCATCATGATTTAAATATGACACCTCTAAGACAAAATCCTGTTGAGAAGTTGGAAAATAAATGTAAATTTTCTGGGGGCTGGGGATTTAGCTCAGCGGCATAAGCACCAGCCTTGCAAGCAGGTGGTTGTGAGTTTGATCCCCAGTACCAATAAAAAGTTTAAAAAAAAAAAAAAGTAAAAGAAAATAAATGTAAATTTTCTTCTAAATCCATCTCCTTTCTCCATTACCATCAACAGAAATTAAACGTTTGCACTGTAGCCTACTATCTCAAGGTAACTTTTAAGACCTTCCAAGTATTCTGTAATCCAGAAATTAACAAGTCATGTTAGAACTGTTGACCCTGGATTGCACTCTTTCATCACAACTGTCTCATGGCTGCTACGCAGGGTAAAGGAAGGCCCATTTTTAAACACATCCACCATGAGCACCCCGAGCACCACTATACATCCTTGTCTGCCGACCTTTCCTCCCACATTGCTAACGCAACAGGAGAGCCCTGCAAGTTCTCATGACGCTCCTCCATTTACTTCTATTCAGCACAAATCAGAGTCCACGTGTCCTCTGCCCATGCTAAACAGGAAACCACTACGTTTTCATCATCAAATACACCCCTGGGCTTCCTTTACTTGTCAACTCAGCTCTCAGAATCGTGCTGTTAGTGACGGCCAAAGACTTTATCCTGCACATGTGAAAGTTTCTACTTGGGCTACAATCTGCTATTACTACTACTATTACTACTGTCTGATTCATTAACCTACATTTCTAGACTTAACTTTTACAATAAAGAAGTACTATTCCAAAGCTGCCATTTCCTGTGATTCTCAGTTTTACATATCTGAATCCCTTATTTTCATATACGTAGGATAATATGTGACCAATTATGTGAGCATCTATGTGACCTTCAGTCACCTGTCTCATCAGCTTTGTTAGGCTATTGTTGAAGATCAGGATTATATCTAATGTATTTTTTAAAAAGGCCCATCTAAGCTCTAGTGTAGTGTCAAAATTTTAATTCTCAATTTGTATTTCTCTATGATAATGAAGTAAAAATTATACTGAGAATGAAAACTGAAGTTTTAAAAGTTATTAAGAGATGAAAATTTAACCTGGTATTAACACTACTCTAAGTCCTGAATCTAAAATATTATATAATCTTGTTCATATTTTAATCCCTTCTAACTCTCCTTTGCTCCCTTTCTGGGAACTATCTACTTTCTAAGTATTATCCCCAGGAATACAGTATCTTTCTCTAATCATGGAAATTTAGTATGCTCACTTCACTGTACTAAACAAATATTAGGGTTACAGATAATTACAGCAGTGGCCTCACCCCTCAATATGGAACTTTTCAATTTATTTAATGCATTAAAATTTACATTATAATGTCCTTTATTGAGCATAGGTGTATAGTTCGTTATCAACTCATGGACTCATTATGAATTTTTTAGTATCTGTCTTTGAATTTTTATAATCCATTGGATATATGTATATAGATAATGTCAATGCTGCCGATATAGAGGAAAAGGTAGAGAAATGCTTTCTGAAATCCAACTGTTTTTGTATTTGTTTTCAAAAACCAGATTTCATTCTTGCCCACTTCAGTTTGCCTTTTAATTAACCTCATTCAGCTGAATACTTTCCTGTGTGAAGTAGTCAATTCTAAAGAGTCTTCTCAATGGATGAAACACCAAATTCACTGATTCACTCATTTAAGGCTGAATACTTACCACGTGATAGAAAATATGAAATAAAATTATTAAGTGGGAAATACTGTGCTTTTAAACACTATCAGGAAACTCAGAGTCAGGTAAATTACAATTAAGTTTTATACCCAGAAGAGTAACAGAGTAATCAATCATTCTTTAAATCCATCACTTGAAAATGACACAAATTCTTCATGGATTCCAAGTTTCAATTTTGAAATGAGATGCCATCAAGACTGGATTTCTAAACGGTATTAGAAGGAAAAACTGAGTTTCAACACTCGCCTGGGTGATGACGATGAACACTGCAATGCCAGTGGATGCAGGGGTGGAATCCCACTGGAGAGGTCTGCTCTGAGACTTTTTCATCCTGACTATCGTCCAACCCATGCACAGACTCAGAAGTAGATACAACATCTGGATTTGGGAAGCAATATCAAAAACTAAAGGGAAATGAAAACCAAAGTCAACCAAGGTTTCACAATACACAGAATCTGGTACATTTTGTATTGAGATAAAAACATTGCTTTTTTTGTCACAGAAAGATGGGCACTTGCAAAGTGAAGGTAAGGGAATTCAGTAAGAGATATTCATATATAATAATTTAAGGAATTAAAAACTTGCCATGTAATCTAAAAACATCTATAAGAAACAGTGGTGATACGATTCTAAAATACATAGATGTGCATATCATTTTTCTAAGTCCATCTTAAAGCTTATCATGTTTCCTGTTTTTTGTAGTTTTTCTAATTATACACACAACCCTGGTTTTTTTTTTTTTAAATAAACAAATTTTAAATATCATTTCTGCAACATGGAAATGTAATGCTTTCATTTCTGGGTTACCAGGATGTTTTGTTTTGTTTTTCTGGCTGAAGTACAATATGAAAAGAATTCTCTAGAGCTGTTAATACGAACATAATGACTATGAAGTGTATAACCACTGTAACATCCAATGACTGGCTTTGGGTTCAGAGTCCTGAAGACAAATGAAAAGCTTCATGAATTGGTGCAGTGTGCCACCATGTGGCCGTCACTTGCACTGCAGGGGAAGCCAGCTATTAAAAAGGATGCTAATAGCACAAGGAAACAAAAATCTATAAATGCTTAAAGTTCTGTGCATATTTATTATAAGTTAGTAGTTACTGATTTTTTAAAAGGCTATCATTTTCTTATATTATGATTTGGATTTTGGAATAAATTTGTGGTCACAATTTGACATCTGTCACCTAACTTGGATGTTGGTAATTTTTACTCTTTTTTTGGGACAGTACCATAGATTGAAACCAGGGCCTTTACACTAAGCTACACCCCAGGCATTTTTTAACTTTTGAGGTATAGTGTAAGCAAGTCACCAAGCTGCTGAAACTGGCAATTCTTCTGCCTCAGCCTCCCACAGTGCTGGGACTATAGGTGTGCACCACTATCCCTGGCTGCTTTCACTTTTAAAGTAAGGATGGTCTTGCAGAGACAAAGACAACTAGCCACAGTGTACAATGTTTACATTTAAAAATCGCATGCCAAACTCCTACTAATACCATGCTTTTTCAGATATATTTTGATAGATCTTTTTCTGTCTTGTCATCTAAATGAAAACAAGTTATTCTACAATTATGTGGTAGTGCATTCCTGACAATAAATTGTCATTGTACTTGAATGATGCAAAATGTCATGACTTGTCACATTAAATTCACTTTTCTTTCATCAGTTTTAATTGTGATACCAATTAATTTTATTAAACATCTCACAGATACACAGATAAAAAGGCTGGCTAAAAGAATATTCCTACATAAGCTGCTAGGCATCAAAAACATATACTTTGGGTGAAAGATCCCTAATTTCCTGGCTCATTTCTTTATGTTCTAAGTAACACAGAGAGCACTATAATACCACTGTAAAACTGGATGAGCATACACTGTTAGTTTATTATTGAAAAATTAACTAATTTTAGATTAAAATAAACTGATCACACAAAAACTCCATTCTGTCTCGAATTTTAATCACTTAACCAACCAAACATTTTATTGTGGGAACTACCAAAAGTTACCAACATCAATTTATTGGTGTTTTTTTAAAAAAGAAAAAAAGAACTTTATTCCTTCAGTGAAAATGCCAGATAGTCTAAAAAACTGTTCTGTATACAGCTGACACAAACATTTAATAATCCTTGATTTGATTAACAGCTCTGCGACTAATAACTCTGCATGCTCTGTCTCTTTGGACATTAATTTTCTCCTTGAAAATTCATAAGCTAAATTATTTTCTCGGTTCTGTCCAGCTTTAACACTTTATGTTTTAGCCCCCTTAAAATGGAGAAAAAGGGCTCTAAACAATGTTTAGAGAGAGCATAAAGCTCCTCTTGTTTACGCCCAGGAGATGAACTATACACATCCTCTTCACAAGCAAAATAAAAGGCTTAGTTCCAGAATCTTAAAACAGGTGGCAAGATCTGGATGAATGGGTCCTAAGATGATTAATGGCAAATATCGTAAGATACTTACTGAAGAGTGGTTAAGACTGGAAGAGAAATATGAAAATAGAAGAAAAAGTAAATCCTAGTGTGGTTTCATATTCAAAATCTGCTTTTTAGAGCAAATCTTAAATAGTTTTCCAGCATTAAGAGTGGCATATAAATTAATGTCCCTCTGAGGTTCTTCCTGTTGTGACTAATGGACCTTTTAAACACTTTTTTCAAGAATTAAGATGTGTTATGTGCATGTACCAACTCCCCAAACGCAACGAAATCATTATGGACTGCATGATAAAAATTTATCTTAAAATTGAAGAAAATTAAATATTTTTCAATCATGCTTAATTAAAAATTACTTCATAAGCCTTTCTCTTATAAATAAAAGAACAAAGGTATAAGAGCAACTCAATCACAGGTGTACACAAAGGCGTTGAGTCAGAAACAGAAACAAACTCAGTATGAAAAAATGGAATCAACACAGGTCTCAGTTTGGGCTCTTGTTCAATAGCTGACCAGTATCTGGAACCATGCTTCATCTCACTGAGCCCAGATTCTTCATGTGCAAAACAAAAATAAGCTCACCTACTTTTTATTGAGGATAAAATGAGAGACCATACACGAGGATTGCTCTCAAGATAATGAAGAGCCACATACATGACTAAGAAACTATATAGGACACATGAAAACTAAATTTGCAACCCTGTTTCCAGTGAGTTTGGCTCTAATCAGCACTAGACAGAAAAATCTTACTATAACAAAAAATTATTTATTTATTCTTTCTCTTTCTGGTGTGGTACTGGAGATCAAATCCAGGGCCTTACACATGGTAGGCAAGCACCTCTCCCAGTGAGCTATACTCTCAACCCAGAATAATTTTAACAAAAGGAAAACAGATGGCAAGCTTATCTTAAATAGTAACAACAACAAAATAATACGCAGCAAGATACTCACATTCTGCTAAACTTCCCATAAAAGGAACCCCTATTCCATCTTTGGAGTACCTGGAAAAGTGGAGTGTGAATTACAAATAGGAATAAAAATTGTTCATAATCAACGTAAGCATAATTTTGGTGGACTAATTAGGATTAATTAGATGTAATGATGAACACAGTTTTAGTGGTTTTGAGTTACCTGGAGAAATGAATGTAATTAGCTAAAGCTGAACCAGCTTGTAACAGCAATGCAGTTGTCAGAACCTTTAAAATCATGTGCATGGGTCCTCCTTTCTTAAGAGCCTGCCACAATGATTGAGCATAAATGCAAGCAATCACAAAGTACATTAGGACTAGGAGGAAAAAGAACTCATGTAACCCTGTGAAGAGAAGAGAGGGAGTTTGCTTCAGTAAAACAATGCCAGATTAGTGTGGGGCTGCTTTCAAATCTTCCTGTATTTTTCTAGAACTTGTTTTTTTAACTGGAGTCACTTTCATAAGGACTTTCATATTCACTTTCATAAGGACAAAAAAAAAAAAAAAAAAAAAAGAGGAAAATTAAACATTTTCTACTTTGGGACAAAGTTGTAACTATAAGAAGGCAGATTTGTCTGAACTAAAGTCAATCCATAAAAATACCATAGTGAAAGAAGTCAAACTCACCATAAAATCAGTTGTTTAAAAATAGCAAATGAAAACCATGACTTCAGCATTCAATTACATACACTTCTTACCCTCAAGTGAATTTCCTTCCTAAGAAGTTTAGAAATGGATTTATTCAGCCAGCAATAGTTTAATATACCTCCACAGTGCTTCTCAAAGTGGGGTCCCTGGGTCAGCAGCCTCACCAGAGAACTTCTTATAAATGCAAATTCTTAGGATCCACCTCCAATTTACTGAATTAGAAACTCAGGAGGGTGAAGCCCAACAATCCATGTGTTAGTAAGCCTGAGGGTGATTCTGCTACAACTAACATATGAGAATCACAGCTCTCCAATGTTCCATCACTTTGAATTTTCATTTGGACAAAGCTTTAAAACACCTGTCATGCCCACAGGCCTCTTCTGAGGTGAGTCTCTGCAGCTTCTGCCAAAGAGAAAACCCTACGGAGAGAGCTGACTATTCCAGTTGGCTACAACTATGATAGCAAATAAACGGCCACCAATCCAAGTAGCTAACAACTTAATTTGATTCTTAAAGTTGGGCAAATGATACTCTCTCCTCTGAATGCAAACTAGAAAATATGGGACAGAAGTACATCAGAGAAGTTGAAGCGAAAAGGAGCCCATGTTGAGTCAGGATACAGAAGGCAAACTAGGCCATAATGCTCTCATGGTTAGTGAAATTATTAGTGAGTTAGCAGAAGTTATGAGCAAAAGGGGTTGGTGAGCTGGCAAAGACATGCAAGAATGTGTCAATTTTGTATTAAAAATTGTGCCAATCATAGCAACCTCTATCTCCTATGAGCAGCTCTTGTGCATCATCTTAGGTAACCTCGTAACTTTTTTCTGTGTTAGATTCTCTGGGCTGTTTTAATTTTCCAATTTCTGAAAAATTTTATAGTAAGTCTAACCCTAACCCTAACTCTATTATTACACAAGCCTTTTCGAGTTTAATGTTTTATACTAACAGTCATCTCAATATCCAAGAGAGATTGGTTTCAGGACCCAAGTCTTTGCATGCTCAAGTCCTTTATTGAAAGAGCACAGTATTTGTATATAACCTATGTACAGACACCCACATACTATAAGTTATCTCTGATTGCTTATCATACCTAATATAGTATGAATGCTATACAGACAGCAGCTGTACCATACTGCCTAGAAAACTGATGAGAAAAGTCTGCACATGTTCAATACAGACACAATTTTTTCTCCAAGTATGTTTGATCCAAGTGTGGTTGCATCCAGATGTGGAAACCGTGCATACAGAGCGCCAACTGTCCTGGGTTACACTTACAACAGTCCCTGATATCCAGGTCTCTGCATCTATGTGACACCAGTGTTGCTTTACAGGCTGTGAGCAGAGCTGTCGCTACTGAGTTTGTGGAGGAAGCTTGTGAACTGCACTCTCTCCCGCTCCTCTGTGAACACTGAGCCTGCTCCAGTTTCCCATTTAGGGTAAAGCACAATTAATGAGCACAAATGAGAATACACCTATTACGTGGAAAATAATTTGGGAAAAGCAATCCAGATGACACAAATAATAGGAAACAGCCAATAAATAGTTCAACCTCAGACTGTTTGTTGGCGAGGCACAGTTAGGAGGGAAAAAAGAAGCAAGAAATTTTTCAGCCACTCGGTGTCTCTCCTGCTCCACCTACATAAAAGATGATCATTTGCTTTTCTAGCACAGATATAAACATCTATTTAGGTTTCAGAAAGAGAAGATCAAATAACAGAAGGGGCACACTTTCTTTTTAAACTCCCTACACAGATATGTATTGCAACTTTAGAAATAATGGGGCCATAATCCTCAGCTTATTACAGTGCTGGAACAAGACAGAAAATACAAATGCTGACCATACTATAATAATAAAATTCCTTATGCTATTCTGTTTTGGATCTTAATTTTTATCTTTCCTTGTTGGTATTAAAAAATTAAAACATTCTACTTAAAGTTTTATTTGTTTATGGAATTACAGGATAATGTTTCAGACTCCATTAGGTTACAAATTCACCATGAAAACAAATTTTTAATTTACCGAGAAATGACAATAATGCAGGAGACTTAAAAATAATACACACAGTACCAGAAAAATATGTCTTAAGAAAACTGTGTCACTGAAATCAGCATTCCCAGTACCTTGCCAGAAGCAGGTAAACATAATCGCTTTGATGGATTTGTCTAGCCTTGGCATCTTCCTGACATCCTCACTTACCTCTCTCTGTGGCAGTGTACACCAAGGGTGTATGACACATGAAATGTGATGAGGAAAGATTTCCCTTCTCTCAGAAAGATACGGAATATCACCATCACCTAGATGGAGCACTCAGAACTGCTGAAGCTAACTTTGAGGGAGCTAAGGACAAAGCTTTGGATTAGAAGATAGCAGGGAAGAGATGCTAAATAATCTACTGTTGAGAACCTTTGGAATGTACTGTTGAAGACAGTAATTAATTTCTTTACTGTCTACATCACTTGCATGAGGATTTTCTGTGACTTTAAGCCAAGAACATCCCAACATGTTACTAACAACATGTTAGCAACGCTAAATGGAAGGACCAACCTGTTACCTTTTGAAACATAAAGGGGGAAAACATAAAAGCAGGAAATTATCTGCTGGAATCTTAAAAATGGCAAGACCACACGAGCAGCAGCAGGGCCTGTAATATTATTTCAATGAAAACCAGTCTATCTGCTTTGGGTCGTGCTGCTCTCAGGTTTCTGAATACTTCTTTTGGTTTCTAATAGCACAAATAAAATATCATGGCAAGGATTTTAATCTTAAGAAACAGTTCTATTTTTTTTTTTAACCTTCAAACATTACATTCATACTTAGTACTCTGCCAAGTAGCATAACATGTAACTTCAATTGGGGCTACGTGCAGCAGGTTATTTGAATTCAAACTTCTCAGATATATGGTAATAGTTCTTAGTAAAATGCATAGCAAATCAATTTTCCTTACTTGGAGCAGATAATTAGATATAATTAGCAAAAGTTTCTAAAATGAATCAATTGGAGATTATCCCCTGGAAACAAATTCCTTACATGAGGGTACAGAATAAGAAGAATCGCTCTCAGGGCTCCACTTTAAAAATAACACATCATTAAAACAATATGCAATGCAGATCTTCAGATAAGTGGTTCTGTACATGGGAATCAACTTCAGAGCTCTGAATGAACACCTGGCTTCCACTCCAAACCAAATTTATTTGAGACTCTGAGGCTCAATATCTATTTTTGTTGTTGTTGTTTTAAATCTCTCTAGATGTATACACCAAAAAGGGTTATAAACAACCAATTTATTATTTGATATAGAATTATGCACAAAAGTTTTTAGCATTTTAATAAATACAATGATGTAATTTTTAGGAATTAAGTCAGCCTCAAGACAGGGTTGGATATTTCTGAGGCACTTCTGGCACTTTTTAATAATCAGCTCTGAAGGTTTAGACCTGCCCAGAATCTCATGCTTAATGAAAATGTTTATTCACTAAGTTGTTTCTTGTTTAAATATCAATGATCTTTCCAATGTAACCTTCTATGTGTGGAAATTTTTTTAAAAAGTGCTTTTAGATATTATAGTAAGCATTAAATCAAAATCAGTGACAAAATCAGGAAAAGGTAGGTCAGAGGGAGAACGAAGAACTAAATGAGAATGCAGGAATCCTAAAGAAAAGGTCGTCATAATCCAGGATGTTAAGGGAAACGTTAGAAGATACAGGCAAGGTTCTGGACAGGCACAGGACAATGAGCACTGCGTGGCCTAGCATGGCCCATGGCATAAATGTGATCATTTTGGAGTGGAGGTTAAAGTTGAAATGCCACACTGGGGATGAGGCAGAAATAGGAGAGAAAAGTAGGCAAGAAAAAGTATAACAAGATCCAGAAGAGTCTCATGAGTGTACACAACAAATAAAACAACCTCCTGAGCCAAAGGCTGACTGCCTGGAAGGCATCAGGGAAAAGGGTCAGCAGATTTGGACTGTATTAGAGGAAGCAGGGTTTATGGGTACAGCAATCACAGCACAGTATTACTTCTTGGTGAGCCTGGACCAATTCTATATACAAGTATCACAGTTAAAATGACCTTAAAGAAATTTGCTCCAATCATCCGTCAAATGCTATCAGCAGACCTGGGTTTCATCAGTCATATTTCCAAAACAGGGAAAATGTCAACATCTTTACAAAGATAAAAGTCACTGCAGGATTAGATTAACTTCTAATAATCCTCTATAGTGGCCCAAGGTGTCATTAGGGAAATATAACCTTCAAGTTCATCTACACTAATAATGAGTTGCTTACACTGTGTAATTTCCTTCACAAAACAACTTCTAAAACTATTTTAAAATGTTTAGTATTCCATTGAATATTTTTTTAAAAATGTTCATTTCTGTATACATTACTTGTGATCTACTATTATACATTACCTTTGACTTGCTTTTCTTGCCACGGTAAAGGTACACTTTGAAGTAAGCAGGTATTTCAGGTAAGAGTTCTTAACTCTTACCCTACTCTCCATCTATCTCCTTTACTGCCAATGAGATGGAATGGAATTGATATCTCTCTAAAAGAACTGACTTTATCAAGTCAGCAATAACTCATCAAGAAATAAACCTCAAACTCTTTTCTTTGAGATGGCTTTCAAAGAGCCTTACTCCAACACATTGACTGATAAATTTGCTATTATTTTTATAGCATGTTTATTACGATCATAAGCAGTCATTTGTTCTATCAGGCTAGGACTCTCATTACCGTAGAGCAGCAGAACGGTCATCTAAAAGTTTGACAAAACATTTTATGTGAGTAAATCTCATTCTAGAAAAATTATAGATTCTGATCATTCCATAAAAAACACCAATAAAAGCAATGTCTGTATTTGTTCAAGCATCAAAATAGTTCAGTTTCTAATTTCAATCACTGACTTACTAATTTAGATTGCTCAATTTATTAACATGTTAATTAAATTAATGCTAGGATATCACAAAAACAAGATTTTGACTATACAAAAGACACTAAAAACTATAAAACTCTATCACCAAGGGTATGGCAACGACCTGTCAATATTTTAATAGTTTTTTTATTCTCTGCAGTTTTAAATATACTTGTGCTCATGCAATATAAAATTTAGTGTTCTGCTTTTTAAAATTAATGACAGCTGTTAAAAGGCTCTAATTAGATTCATTTAACAGTTTCCCTATTGTTAAACCCACGGGTTGCTTTTTAGTTTTTAATATTCCAAAAACACAACAGGAAGATATTAGTACATATGTGTTTTTAAAAAATTTATGATACATTTAAACACATATTCTTACCAGATTCTCTAGCACTAAAATGGTCAAGTGGATTCCCTTCGGCATCAGGGTTTAGCAACACCATTTCAAATGGGATATCGTCCACCTGCAGAGTCTCAGCATCACCTCCACAAGTATACTTGTCTGCATAAAACACGTGCCACGCTTGTGGAGATGGAATCTGGGACACTGTCAGATTATGTTCAGTCTGGTTCATTGTCACTTTAAAGAGAAAGAAAATAGTACTTTTCAAAGTCAAATTCAAGAATGTATTTATTGTTTTAGCTAAATAATCAATTTGGGTTAGAATTCTTTCTCTGTCTGTTTTTGGCCTCAGAAAACTAACCTCTGGATTAGTACTGGAATAGGCATACAGACTGGAAAGGAATTAAATTCAAAATCACTATAAAACACAACAAATGAGCAGAATAACTTCACTGAAAGTTTCAATTTTACTTCTAAATATTTTCCAAGTTCCCAAACTCAACATTTAAAGTTTATTTTACTATGATAAAATATATGCAAAATTTATCACTGTACCATTTTTAAGACAACAGTCTGCAGCAAGAAGTACAGCCACAATGCCATGTAGCAATTACAGCAACACTTTTTAAAAGCTGTGTTAATTTAAAATAGAGCATTCAACTAAGAAAATACTGCAGTATATCTAAGAATTACACCAGACAAATGGTTTTAAAAGATTTTTAAAAAATATTTTTCTAACAGGTCATTATTCAAAAACATAAAAAGTACAAAAACAGAACTTACAGGGATGTGAAAGTTACACTGAGTCAGGACTATACACAGTAGTATGACATACGGGAAGGAAAGAGTCACAAATGTTGGCATGATAAGATCTGTTTTGGAATCCTGACTTCAGTACTTACCTGTTATGTGACCTTGGACAAGTTACATATGCAACTATTTTTACTTTCCTCTTTTGTAAAATTAGGATGCCACCTATAGTAAAGGACTGATGTTATAGGAGCTAAGTTACAAAATTCATGGTATCTGTAAGAGAGTAATTGCTAAGGCAATATTTTCTTTTTCCTTTCTTTAAAACAAACTGTAGCTAAGACTGTGGTTTCTCTGAAATACCTGAATGGCTTTAATAAGAAGTAAATATAGGAACAATAACTGTTTCAAAAATAAGGTTGCTGAAATGTGAGGCTTGCAATTACAGAATTGGGACCTTATTATATAAAGGTTCTGCTATCTTGCTGTTTTATCACACTTTTTGACAAGACAATACAAAAACTCATCATTTTGTTTTAAACAACACATTCCTTGATGTTTCATTTTAAATTATCTGGATTACCTCAAACAGAAACAAAAGTATGCTTATAAAGTGATACCGGCCTTTAGTTTTTATCTTGCTGTCTTTTTCAACAAGCCTGGGAAGCAAGCCTCTTGACAAAACTGTGTGCTCATTGTTTCTGAGACAAAAGACTACAGCACAGCATGTGTAGTCGATGCTGGTGTAATTAGTACCTCAAATATTAACAAAACCTGAATTGCAGAGAATGGCATTGAATAGATAATTGCCCAATCATATTTCGAAAGGAATACTATTAACCAAAAGACACAATAAAAAACACCTTTAAATGATTTTTCAAATATACCAAATATACAAGAGGAATTATATGTATAAGACATAAAAAGTATCAAAATGTTTTATATACAATATTATACTTAGCTTCTGTGGTGCTTAAGTATAACTGTCAACTTGATTGACTTGGGAGCTGCCTAGAGACTTAGTAAGGCACCCTTCTGGGTGTCTGAATGGTCACAACGGTGTGACCTGGGATTCTATCCCTTGTCCCTGGCCCTGTCCTCTCCAGCACTGTTCCCCTGTGCCTTTTCTTGGCTGCCACGAACCAGGCAACTTTGCTTTGTCACACCCTTCTGTCATATTGGCAGCCAGGCAACCAACCAGACTCAGGCGTACTGATAAACTGGAAGGGGGCAGAGAGGTCAACAACGAGAGCGTCCGAATACTCCTGAGTTTCCCCTGTATAACTGCTGGATGGTGTTGCCAGCTCCCAAAGCAGGCAACACTGGAAGAGGAGTGATTTGGATGGTGGACACAGGGAGTTCAGTTTGGAGCCAAAGGCTGCAACTTTTATATTAAATGTGTAGGATATTAGATAAATTGGTATAGAAAGGAAAAGAGTGAGCATTTGCACAAATTTCTCTCGTAAGTTCTGAAGTTCAGAGTTGACATAAGTAACTTCATGTAACTGTCTCTTGGATATCTGAATATAATCTTTCAGACCTCTTTAGCACATTAGCAATGTCAACCTACAAATCTAGATGATAGCCACAAAGGATTCAAACTTTTACTTTTATTCCCTTTCTGGCTAGCTCTCTTGAAGGAACCAGACAGTGGCTGATTCACCTAGATGTTTAGAAACTGAAGTATTTTACCTGATGAGGCAAAAGGAGATAAGTCCTGGAATGGGGGAGGGAGGGCTGCTATTTTTTTTCTCACAGATGCATCCAATTCCTCATAATTCCCATAATGAATTAACATAACAAGAGGTAATATGATTGGAATAACATACGTTACTTTATTTCTAAATTATTAAAGTTTTGCATGGCTTTTACTCTGAATAGCTAATACCTAGTGGTGGTGAATCTATGGCACACATGTTGCAGCAGGCTGTCTGCATCACTAAAAGGTTCCCTATCACTGCTCTAACAAACTGAATAGTGTTGATGAGAATGGAAGAGTGAAGACTCAAGCCACTAAATGAGGAAAAATAGGAACCTCTACAGGCAAACCCAGAGGTTTACAAATGATGTGGAGACATCAACAAATATGTTACCAAAAAACCAACTCCCATATCCCAAAGACATGTTATAAAACAGTACTGGGCTAACAGTTAACTGAAGCAGTGCATACTCAAGTGTTTAGCTCTGTACTGGCAGAAAACACACACTAAACAAATGTTATTCTCTCCATGCTGCTCCTAGGTAAAAATGTCTGTTACATTAGTGTGAACTAAGCAAACTATAAAGAACATTCCTTTATAAACTGTCTGGCTACTTTTCAAAACTGATTGATAAAGAAGAAAAAAGTATCCTATCTTTTGAAAAAGTAAAAAGTTTCCTTATAATTCAGCTTGAAATGTAATTGACAAAATGATATATAGTCATGAATCATTTTGGTAGGTAAAACACAGGTACCGATGTAGTGGTCAAAAAAAAAAGAAAGAAAGAAAAGAATATACTCACTTGTCAACTGAGCTTTGGATAATTTTTCACTACAACTATAGCCATGATTATTTTCTTGCAGCTTTAGCCATTCCTGGGCTTGGAACAGGTAGAGTTTAGCTTCTTTTCCAACAGCGACTGCTATGTTGTTGATTCTGACACACAGAAGGGCATGGTCACCTTGACATTAATACAAAAATCATATACACTTAGTTTGTGTCATATGGCATTGAGAAGGCAGGACAATTCAACACCTACTGATCAAAACAGTACTTAAAAAACAATTTTCTTAAATCTCACTTAATCAGGTGAATCACAATAGAAAAAACAAGGCATTCAGATGCAAGACTATTCAAATTAACGTGTGATATATCCTTATGATTCAGCAGTCCAATGCTAACATACTACTGAATAACAGAAACATCTGCAGTCTTCGGACAGGCACTGTAATAGAAATTTTGTCTCATTTTACAATCACTCCACACCTTTTATACTTTTTGCATTCACTGTAGAAATTTCCTGCCAGAATTTTTTTTTAATAAAATGACTTTACATATTTTAATAAAATGACTTTAAATACTCAATTACTCTTTTAATATTAAAACATATCTAATAGCAAGAAAGACTCAATACATGTTTTTGGGATGTGCATTTTACACCCGCAACAAAATTTATTTCTGTAACTTTCACAAAAGAACTTGCAGACCAATATATGTTGGGTGCTTAACCACTTAATAAGCGTCACTGAGGCAGCAACTAGTCGATTCTTGTATTGAATAAATTTGATAAGATCTTTTTATATTTCTTGTTTAGTATTGTATAAAATCAATTAAAATATGCAATTTTTGGTCGTCCTGTATTTAAATAAGTGGACTGGTAAGTGGTTAATACGGAATGAGCTCGGTTGCACACATCAGACTCAGAGCAGAAAAAGCAAACTAGTTGTCTCTAGAGAAAGGGACCCTGGTGAGGAGAGGTGAAACAAGGAACCGTTTTTCATTTTTAAGCCCTTATATTCTCATTTGTTTTTTTAACTTTTTTACAAGAATTATTGGTTAGATTACATATTACCAATAGTCTTAAAAGTGAGTCTATGGTCCTATTTAATATCTTACACTGCATTCAGAGTTACAGGCCATTATTTCGGTATAATTTCACTATTAATATTGAACTGAACTGGAATTCACTACATTAGGTAATACTGCAGCATACTGAGAAATCTAAATTTGTATACATTTCTCCTCTATGCTTCCCAGGTAATTATGGTGAACATAAGAGGTGTCTAAATCTCTCTGCTGATCATGAGAAATAATCCACGTCACAACTGCCAAACACCCTAGATTTTCCAGCACTGTTCAGACTGTGCCATTTACTACAGTGCCATCATTTTCACTGTTAAAGTTACAGTGAGCTGATTAAGAAACAAATTAGGACAGAAATAAAACTATTTCAAGGATTCCTTCTTCAACCAAACCACATTGGATTTTAGAAAACCAGGTTTCATTACTTAGCGGTCTTAAAATTTTAAGTTATTTTTAAAGTCAGTTTTCCTCTCTTTACAGTATCAATTCTCTAATTTCCCAATGCTTTAAATTCCTTTCCTACACAGAAACAGTTTCTCATTTCTATGATCTTTTAAGAATCCTTTTCGGGATATTCTAACCTTCACGATTACATCTTTTAATGGAACTAAAGATTATATCCTAACTTCATCAAAGAAAACAATTCTGGAAATACAATACTAGTCCAATTAACAGTATCGGAAAAACACTGAAATAAATGAGCCAAAAATTAAACTGCAGAGAGCATAAAGGTACAAATCTGTTGCAGCTCTGATTTCAATTGCGCCAAAAGAGGATACCAACTACGTAATTTACCGAATACACTAACACGCATTTCTACCAATTTAATTTTAGGTGTCATGATCCAGCATAACTCCATCACGCTAGAACTCAAGAAATCAAACTGGTTTGCAAGTAATGCCAATTAGATCACCAGCACTCTGCTCCAGTAGGTTTTATTACATCAGCGTAAAAACGGAACAGCAAATTTAAGCTCCTGGGCTTTCATTCACACGATTGGGCTGTGGACTTCCAACCACAGTGCCTAAAGGTTTACAATCAGGTGGAGTCAGCAAAGGGCAAACGATGCTTCTTGGAAAGGACAGAGCTCGAAAGCTGCAATAGACCCGTCCCCTGGGCATTCCTTTGGCCCGAGGGCCGGGAAAACAGAAACTGAATAATTTCAGGCGTCCGGGAGAGGCTACCGCCGGGTCTGGGCTATGAGCCTGCGCATCCCGCGGTCCCAAGGCAGCGGCGGAGCGGGAAGGCCAGGGTAAGAAAGGAAGCCGCCGCCGGCTAGACGTAGCAGGGAGCAGGGCAGGAGCCGGAGGCCGGACCCCAAGGGGCGCCCCCATCCGCCCCGCCCCCGCCCCGTCCCCGCCTACCGTGGAACTCGAAGTGGCCGATGCTCTGGCCCTGAGCTTCTCGGGCAGCGGCGCTGTTGAAACTACCCCGCAAGGTCTTACCCTGACTACCCTGCGGCCACCAGCAGCACGTGAGGGCCACCGCCAGGAGTCGCAGGCCCCCCATTCCCTGCCTCCCGCTCTGCACCCACACCCCGAACCCTAACAGCCTGAGTCCGTCAGCCCCACGTCGGCAGCCGGGGAAAGGGGTGTGGCCAGAACTGCGGGGAGAATAACAGCCAATGAGGAGAACGCTTCCTCCAAGAATCAAGGATATCCACCTATAAGAGGCTGAGGTGGGCGGGATGCGCAGAGCCTCGCCTCCCATCATTCTCCTACCTTTAGGCTAGTTCCCGCCTTTTTTCCTATGGAGAACCAAGAGGATGTTGCTTCAGGTTGCGGAAAACTATCCTTTTGGCGGTGGCATGCCTACTACTACGCATGCGCAGATGGGCTGGCCTGGGTTGGTGGGTTCTGGAGCTGAAGAAATGTGATAGTTCCTTTTTTGGCCAAGAAAGGAAAAGGCCTTCAGAATTGAAACTATTTTCTTAATTTCTTTTCCCTCACCACGCCTATATAATCTACTGGACATACCCACTTTTATGTCTCAAAGACACTCAACCTGCCCAAAGTTTAAAGCCTGACTTTTCTTGTCCCAAATTTTCCATCCTCGGTTTCCTCTCTCCTTGAACTAGATCATCATTCAGCAGGCCAGACGGCTGAGAAATGTAGAGTCTATCCATACAAGGCCCTCATATCCAACGTTTATTGGCTCTTCTGGTGATTGATTGTAGGAAACAGCAGCAACAGGCCTATACAGACCATCACATAGTTGGCCTATGGCAACTTGACCTCCCCCCAGTCTTAATTCTAATTGGCGGCAGTCCAGCTCAATTTTAGAGCCACAGAAAGCTTTAGGAAAGTTTGGTTGCATCGCTTTCCTTCAAAGGATCCACTATTGCTTTTAGTACACAGCACAAACTCTTTAGATTACAGCTCTCAAACTTTTCTTTTCTTTTCTTTTCTTTTTTTTTTTTTTGGCTTTTTCCTTTTCATCGGTACCAGGGATTGAACTCATGACTGCCTGCTTGCAAGGCAGGCACCTATGCCACTGAGCTAAATCCCCAGCCCCCAAACTTTTCAACTTCTAACCTCCATCCTTACTACTGTCAGTTTCATAAATACACCAAGTTTCATCTCGAGGCCTATACCATTTGCAAATCCTCTAGCTGAAATAGTTCCGCTTATCCTACCACTGAACATCTACAACGCCTTCTTTTTCCCTACCATATTCTCCCTTTTCCAATGCACTTTAGGAAGCCTTTCTCAAACTCCCAAGTGTGTGACAGATGCCCCTGGAACCAGTATCTCTTACTTCCCTATCAGAGCCCTTAGCCCGCTCTGTTGTAAATGACTTGATTTATCTGAATCCTTCACTGCATTGTAAGGGCTAGCTGGTCAGAGATGATGTTTGTGTAAACAAAAGCAAGACTCAAAATTATTTCCTGAATTAATATACATAAATTATTTTCACTGAACAAGTTTTTATTATATAAGCACGTTCTTATGACATACTTCTGCATTTAGGAAAAGAAATCAGAATACTTCCTATTCTATTTAGCATTTTCAGTATCTTTGATCAGAATTAAACTAGAGATGTTAATATTTGAGGATTTAAAAAAATTGCACTAAGCTGGGTATGCCTGTGAGCCTAGCACTTAGGGGCCGAGGCAGTAGGATCACCATGAGTTAGAAGCCAGCCTGGGACATAGCCTGAACTACTAGCAAGATCCTGTCTCAAAAGAAAAAAAAAATGGAAAAAAAAAGAAAAGAAACATTACTTAATTTTATTACAAAACTAATGCAGCTTAGAGAAAAAATCGTCAAAAGTGTATAAAGTTAAAGACAGTCCCTACTTCTCTTTTACTTGCCCACATCCAGTACTCGAAAGTAACCCTTGTTAATAGTTTAACGTGTAGCTCTTCGGACAACAAGCCTCTGCAAACAGATGTAGTATTAAACTAAATTTGGTGTTGGGTTTCTGCCAGTATTTTGAATTTCTTCATAGAGTACTACAACCCAGTATATAAACAATCTGAAATATAACTAGGAATATATTCTTCTAATAACTAACAGTCTCCATCAATCATAGTACAGGAATTGCTCCAAACACAGGCTGCCACTCCCAATAAGACTCTGTATGTATCAGATGCATGGTCAGACCAGGTCTATCTATGTAAAACAAATTTGGAGCAGTAACCACTCAAGCTATTTCTAAATGTCACTTCCAATTTTTTTCTATATACGCTGCCTGAACATGTTGCTGGGGCGGGCTCTCTGAATCTTTGTGTTTTGAATGCTGCCCAATATATAAAGTCTTTTTTTTTTTGCTCAAATAAAGCCTGATAAACTTAATTTGTCTAAAGTTTCTTTTTACATTTTAATAGTATTTTTTGCAAGGCAAGGACAGGGATAAAATTTGTCTTGAAGGAAAAGCAGAATATAGACAGGCCTTGAATGCCATGAGGGTTTCTCTCTTATCTTTCTTCTCTTTTAAACAATTTTTTCATATCAGGAATCAAACACACTTGCCAGGCAGGCACTGTGCTATTGGGCTATATCCCCAGCCTTGTTTTTCTTCTCTTGATCAGCTTTGTTTTTCTCTGTCTCTGAAGAAGGGTTTTTGGGTTCTTTAGTTCATTTAAAAGAACATGGTCATTAACAAGTACTAAATTAGTAGGTTCTCAGAGTTCAAGAAAAGCAAATAGAGTGTACTAGAGCCTTAGTACAATTTGAAATATCAAGAAATGGCTTCAATTCACCTAAAATAAGCCAAATACTCATCCTGTAGCTAGCCTAACATAAACCAACGTAGTGGATAACAAAGGATAGCAGATTCAGGTTTCTAAAAACTGTAAGTATCCAGTCCAAATATTTTGGTTTTATTCCATGATAATGCATTCTTTTTAAAGGCTATGTAAGTCCACTGTATTTTGAAGGTCAGTCTCATGCACGTTTAGATTGTGTACAATATTTTCTTATTAAATAATACAATGAACAATGATTTGTTTAAAACATCATGGAATTTAGGTGTCATAGATTATGTGTATTTGAATTTTTCATATATTACCACTTTGCCCTCAATAAGTTTTTAACATATGATGGCCCTCATATACTGGATATTCTCTTACTTTTTATGCTTTGGTAAAATATTATGTGGGGGAAAATATCTAGTTATCAGCTTAACAATATTTACTGATCATTTATCCTATGCCAGGGATCAGCCTGGAAAAGAAATAAAAATAAAATACATCAGAAATTAAAATCCCCTACTTCCATAGAGTAGAGTCAATGGGCAATTATACCATTTATGTATCTGCTGATAAGTGCTATAAAGAAGAGTAAGGTTGTTTTGCAGGGATAGAGTAGAACTTGTTACTTCAATTGGGGTGGTCAAGGAAAAACTTCTATAGGATGACATTCAAGCTAAGAATTGAAAAAAATAGGAGTAAGCACTAGATAGACATCAGAGGAAAAGGCTTCAGGGTCAGGGAAGTATCCTGCATGGGCATTTCAAGAAAGAGCAAGCTGAACCTGGAGATTGACAGAGTGAACGACAGGGAGAATAACAGGATAAGATCTAAGGATGGGCTCTAAGGAAGATCCTTATCAAAACTGCAAGTAGGTTTTGCTGTCTATAATAATATTAACTATAAAAGGTAATTTTTCTATTGCAACTCCCATTTCCACGGCGCAAGAACACAAGTCCTCAGAGTTCTTAGTTGAACTAGTGTGTAATCTCTGGAAAAAAATAGTGTAAGTACAAGAATGAAAAGAAAGCACTCACTTAAAACTTCAGACTTCTGTTTATCTAAGTAAAGCCTAATCCAGGTTAGTGACATATTCCTAACCTCACTATCCCGGAAACCCCTTTAATGCTCATCCAACCCCGCATAGGCTGAGAGCACGTGCGCCTGCGCAGTAGCACTGCGAGGATATGCCCCGCCCACCGGTGGGCGGGAAAATGGGCCTCAGAGCCTATCCTAGAAGCTGCCAGTGACAGCGCCGTAACGTGTGGAGGGAGCGAGTCATGTCGCAAAATCGTCGCAGTGGTACTTTCCTTTGGTTTTCAAACGCGGTGCTTTACGTTGCTAGGTATACACTGCTGAGCTGGGAGATGTCGGCGGCCTCCCTGGCGGAACCCCTGAGTTCCCCAGGCAGCTTTGCGAAGCGGGTCCTGGTGACCGGGGGTGCTGGTTTCATGTAGGTAACGGCGCTGCTGGCCGAGCAGTTCCCCCGCCCCAGAAACCCCAAACTTCCTCGGCTCTGTTTCCTTTTGTAATTTGGGTCCAGCTTTGCTGGGGGTCTAGCAAGGGAGAGTCCAAAAGAGCCGCTCTGGCCGTCTGTCTCCTCTCTCCCTGGCCGGCCAAGGCGTGTTTCCTTTGAAACTGCCACGTCTTTCAATCGCCTGCTTCCCCAAACCGGTAATGTGCCACTGTGGTACTGTCCCCCAACTTCCTAACTGCCCCAAACATCACTCTTTATCACTCCTGGGAATGCGCACAGTACAGTCAGTTTTTGCCAATTTCCACTCCCCACCATCGTGATGCACTGGCGCCCCCAAAACGGTTTGGGGATTGTGATAAGATTGTTTGTTCAGCAAACTTAAAATATTCTATTGTTGCCAACCTATACTAGATGTTTATTGCCTTTCTCTCTTATACTCTTCTTTGATCGAGACCTTTCTACTTCCAAAATAAGTCCTTAATGCAACGCTTCTCAACACGCTCCTTCCAAGCCCGTGTCACCGCCTTCTTGTGACTAGACACCAACTGTAGCTTCCTCATTGTCTTTCTGCTTCCACACTTGTTGCCTTAAAGTCTGTTTTGCGCACAGAAGTCAGTGGTTTTTTTTTTTTTTTTTTTTTACTTTTTTAAGTAAATCAGATCATGTTATGTATAGAATTTTATTCTTGTGGCTTCTATCAGAATAAAGTTCAAACTCTTTTCCATATCTAGCAGATTCACGTGTCCAAACCATACTTTTTCAATCTGATCTGTAGCTGCTCTGTGCCTTCTGCTCTTACTCATGATGGTTAGAACACACCAGCCTAGTGTCCTTTCTGTCATGAAGTCTTTGCACTTGTTCCTTTACTTAGCAGTTTGATCCACTTAATTCAAGCCGTAGAGAATCCTTACCGACTCACCTATCTAAAATAGTCCCTCTCCCAATTCACACACTTATCTCTACCTGAAATTAGATTGCTTATTAGTGCTTATTTGCTGCCTCCATCCCCGAGCCTCTGTTGCTTGTGAGGAACTGAGTGTTTAGTAAAGGAAAAGAGACTGTGGGATTCTTGTTGATTGCCCAATAGCACATTAATTCATCTTCTAATCTGACAGTCACTTGGCCAAACATATCAGGCAGGCAGTTTCTTAAGAAAAAGAGTATAGACAGGAGAGGGTTGTACTGGTGTGAGAGTAATGGTCCAGTGAAGCATTTGCTAAACAGTACCACCAGGACCACCACCAACAGACTGACTCCTGGGCACCCGACACTTGTTTCTGTGATGCTGGGGATCATCTCACTGAGATTTGCCTCTGGTTCCCCTTCAAGGTCTTCTGAAGACCAGGAGCCACTATGGGCATCCAGCTCTGGGTGGTGTCAGCTAATACTAGCCTTGGAAACCTGGAAGCAGTTCAGGATTCCTGTAGGATTCTGATACACACTGCCAAATTCATATATCACAAGATAGCATTTGTGGAAAATTCTATAAACATTATAAATGATTGTGCTCATGCTAATTGAACTTTTTCATGCTTATATCTGGAGTTCCTAAGAAGGGATGTTACAGTGTTGGCATGGTTTTTTAACATCTCTTATGTTTTTCATCTTGCTTCACACTCACATTTCAAACATGCATGTACAGCATCTTTTGGTTAAACTAATTTTTAGCTTTGTCCCCCAAAGCCAGTAAATTTTCTTTGTGTAAAAAAAGTGTAAGAGTTAGTTTATAGGTACTTCAAAAAGTTTAGTGAAAAAGTGCATGTGTTTACATTTAGTGTGTTATATTGTTTCCATTATCTTTGAAAAATTAAAGGTTATGTTTGAATTTTTTCCTAAAACTCAAGTTTTGGAAGAAAATTTAGAAATTTAACAACATTAAATTTTCCACTCAACAATGTAACACTTTTTTCTTATAGTGCATCGCATGTGATTGTTTCTTTAGTAGAAGATTATCCAAACTATATGATCATAAATCTAGACAAGGTAAGTTTTGTAAAAACGTAATCTTCGTGCAATGAAATTATGTTTCAATTTAATTTCTTTTTTTTTTTTTTTTTTGTCTTTTTCCTTTTTATTGGTACCAGGGATTGAACTCACGACTGCCTGTTTGCTTATGCCGCTGAGCTAAATCCCCAGCCCCAATTTAATTTCTTTTTGAAAAACAGTAGTAGAATCCTATTATGCTATTTCAGTATTTTATTTAATCATTGTAACAGCTTAAGCACCTGTTTAGTTGCATGTTCATGCTACTTTTAATCTTATATAAAATCTTTTGAAACTTTGATTTACTGTGCTAGTTCATAAACTCAAGTGTTGAGTATGGTACTTTTTTAAAAAAATCACATTTTCTAAATTCAGTGTTCGGTGTATTGTGATTGTGATTGTGGTTTTTGTGTGTGTGTGTGTCAGCATGCTTTATTTGTGTTCTTTATTTAAAGAATTTGTGTTCTTGATTTTGTAACTGCCACCTCCAAAAAATTATACATTTAGTTTTTAGTTTATTGCAATGATTGAAGTCTTTCTGAAAAATCTGACAGCTATAATTGGTGATCACTGACTTTCTCAAGTAATGAAAAGATGCAAATAGAGACCTTAGTTTTGTAAAGCATAATAGCAAAATTATACATGCAAATAATAACATAACTTTTAGGAATTTTTGCATTGTTATGGACAACAAGATTGATTGATCATTACTTTTTTCCCCATCTGTACACTAACTTGCCAACCATTAACTCAGGACCAATTATAATGAATTATAATATGTGTTAAGCAATTATATTTTTAATCATTAATTTCTCTTCTGTGAGGAGTGATGCATTTTTCTAGCCACCAGTATCTGGAGGCAAATTTGTGCAGAGTATCTTTTAGAGATTTATAAAAAGATTTGGTTTTGAGTTTTTATTTTTGTTTTGTATTTTAAAAGATTAAAAAAATTTCTTGTTTTCTACTCTTAAGATGTCAGAAGGGTAAAATATATGAAAACACAGAGCAAGCACACTTTTAAGAGGACATGTTTTCATGTTATAGTAATTAACTTCTACACTCCTTAAGTTGGTATTGTGTAGAAAAAGCTAATACTGCTTTTTGTGTTGCCTCCCACCAACAATGCTGTCTTATTTTAAGCTGGATTACTGTGCAAGCTTGAAGAATCTTGAAACCATTTCTAACAAAAAAAACTACAAATTTATAAAGGTACTGAAGTTTTAAAATTGTACTGTCTCTTCCTTCAAGTTTTAAAATTACTGCTCCCTCCCTCCCCTTAAGACAAGGTCTCACTGTGTAGTCTACGCTGGCTTTGAACACTATAACTAGCTCAGTAGCTCAGGCTGGTCTCACACTTGGAATTCTTCTGCCTCAGCCTCCAGAATAATAGAATTTTAAGCTCTATGTTGCATCTCTTCAGTTATGCTGAAACTGTAGTATCTTTCTACTTTACAAACATATTGATAGGGGCTAGGAGGACACACTTAGTGCACACTTAAAAGATCAAATACTTAATTTCCACAAGTACACTGGGCTCTAGAGAATAGTACACTGGGCTCTAGAGAATAGTACTTTGACACCACATAAAGATTTCATGTGATTTTTGGTACCTCAGAGAGTCTATAAGTAGCTGACTGAATTTCCATAGTTTGTGACTTTAAATCCTGAGTAACCTATTTAATAAGACCTTCCTGGGATTTGAAGTGTGTCATTACCCTGAAGGCCAGCCAGACCATGGAGCTCTTAGCAGTCTTCCCTGCGAAGTCAGATTGTCTCTGGAAGGCTGATTGTTACTAACCACTCTCAGACAAGTCAGATGTATAAACCACAGGGCCAGTTCATTAGTTTGCATAGGGAAATGTTACTGTCCAATAAAACTGTCATGATTTATGTTGATTTCCTAAAATGTGACTCTGTAAACTTTTTTTTAACAATATACTAAACAAACTTTCGCACTTTTTTCTTTGTGAAAGTGTTTTCTTCAGAGAGTTGAAAATATGTATTGTTAAAAAAATTAAATGTACCTATAAACATAAAAAAGTATTATTTAGTTGCAACAAAATGTTTCCCAATGTCATTCTAATTACACTTACTTTAAGTATATTTTAGTAGTGGTTCTCTCAAAGGCATATCTTTAATGCTAAAAAACTTTCTTCTTGATGTTTTTGGCGAGAATGTGATGAAACAAATGGCACAGCATTTAGTTACGGCTCAGTAAAGTGCTGTTTCACACTTACTCGCAAAAACATTTTGAGACAGAAGTACTTTATTTCTCAGATGTTGGAGAAATAGCATCATTACTGTACTTGCCTAACCACATGGCTGAATTTTGAAAACATTCTCTGTTGACCTGGGAGGTAGAGGATGGGGGTGTTATAATAAAAATGATTATTAAGAATGAGAGTGTTAAAAGAAACCTAGCTTTTTCATGTTTGTTTTTTCATGTAGGGTGATATATGCGATGCTCATTTGGTGAAACGGCTTTTTGAAACAGAGGAAATCAATATAGTGCTACATTTTGCTGCACAAACACATGTAGGTAAGCATCCAAAGCATTTCCGTGAAGTTTTGTGTGTTTTTACAAAATTTAAAAACAGCCAACACTAACCTATAGTGTTAGGGATAAGTATATAGACAGCAAAACTGTAGAGAAAAGCAAAGGAAATTATAACTTTAAACCAGGCAGCAGGCACTGGCCGAACTACTGTTACGGAGCATTAAGCAATGTCCTGTCCTTTAGTACTTCTAAGTTCTTCTGAATGTGTTCTATTTCAGTAAAAATATTAGGCTAATTATTAGCAAGTACCTTAAATATACAGAATGGTACAGATAATAATATTATGTTCACTGTGTGCCCACCACCCAATTTAAGAAAAACAAAATTAAAACCACACCTATCTCCTCATTCTTTATCTCCAAAGTAATCATTATTCTGATTTTGGGTCAGTTCAGAGTTTTAAGATACATTCAAGGTTATATAACAACCCAAACTAATAATAGTGAGGTACATCATGCCAAGCATATCAGTGATTTAGTGCCCACGGGCCTGTTTTCTGGTGAAACGTGTGTGTCCTCTTTCAAAGATGGTTGTTAGATATCTGCTTATTCAACCCCATTGCTGGATTTTGTCACTAGGGAAAAATAATGCTGGTCATAGCTGTCAGTAAGACAATGTACATACAGTTTATTCTTTTTCAGTACTATGCAAATTCCAATTCCCACAGTTTACTTATGTGTACTCTTAATGGGCATTTGGGTTATTTATACTTTTGGACAATTCTGAACAGTATTGCCATGGGCATTCTTATGTATGTATCATGGTAACACATGAGTCTATATTACTCTCTGATACATTGATAGGATCATAAGATTGGCATATATCAACATTAAGATGTCAAACTATTTTCCAAGTTAGTTTCCACTGCTCAAGTGATGTATGACTTTCTGTTGCTCCAAATTTTGCCAAAGCTTAGTTTTGTCAGATTTTTCTATTTTTGGCAAACTCAGCTCTGTGGAGTAGTCTCTTCTTTACGTGTTTAATTTACATTTTCCCTCATTACTAGTAAGACTGAACTTTTTAATGTTTTTTTTTGGGGGGGGTAACTTGAAATCTTTGTCTATTTTTAAATTGGATTATTTAAACTTTTCTCACTGAGAGACATATTTCAGTGAGAAAAGTGAAAAGCAGTTATCTCTAGTATATGTCCTATGAGTTGAGCTTTTCATTTGTATGAAGTGATTTTTCTGCCTTGTTAGTATTACACTACTTTGAAGTCTATGGTGTTGATGTTAATATAGCTTTATAAATGTCACATTAATTGTATGTCTTACTCCATATTTTAACTTGCAACTCATTCTCTAGCTTTGTGGTCTAGCTGTGTTTCTTGTAAGTACAAGATTTTGGAATTTTTTTAAAAAATCTGTTCTGATCACCCTTGATACTTACCCTTTTACTTGATTTTTCTAAGGACTTAACTGAGAGACTTTTCTTTTTTCTCCCTGATAGTTTGGAAGATACATACTCTGTTTGAATTGTTTTTTTTTTTTTTTTTTTCTTTTTTATCTGTACCAGGGATCGAACTCAGGACTGTCTGCTTACAAGGCAGGCGCTTATGCCACTGAGCTAAATCCCCAGCCCCTTCTGTTTGAATTCTTTAAATGCCTACTTCGGGAATTATACACATGTACAATTAGCTTGTCAAAGTAAATCCATCAGATCCATTGCCTTCTTCCCAAGTAATAATGCATTTCAGCTCCATGTATTTATTCCCAAGTGTTTTTATCAAGAATTTTATCTTGTTTTTATTTTTTTCAGTCTGTCTAGATATCATTCTTTTTATATAGTCATTTTTATAGGCAATTTTGTATTTTGACTATTCGAAATATTTTGTATAGTGAGTATTGTGTAATTTTGTATAGGCACCATTACTATTCTGTACAGTACTAGTTATGTATGTTAAGTAATTTCATTTTTAGTTTTTTTTAAACCATGCAAAAATTTTTATATAATTATATTTATCAATGTCTTCTCTTACTGCTTCTGGATTATGAATCATAGGAAAGTCCCCTCAATCTTGGGCTGCTAGAAAGGTTCAATTTTTTTAAAGTAGGCATATTCTAAAGTTGTTTACCCAGCTTTTATTGTTTCTATTAATAAGAAATGGATTTGCAAAGTATAATGCTAGAATAGCCAAACTCGGAAGTTTACAATTTTTTTAAAATTGAAAAGATTTACATGGAGTATTTTGTATTTTCTTTTTTTTATATAGACAAATTTAGCACCAACAGTTTTCTAGGTTCTAAGAATCTTACCTGTGCTTTGTGATAGAGATTTATAGAAGTCATGAGTATCAATGAATATCTGTGTTATAACATTGCAATTATAGTGAGTGAAGAGAAGTAGATAGTACTATTTTAGAAACTGAGTTCATTGTTCACTTTTGTGTCTTGGTGGAATTGTTTTAGCTTTTTTTCTCTTTTCCTAGATCTTTCTTTTGTCCGTGCCTTTGAGTTTACATATGTTAATGTTTATGGTACTCATGTTTTGGTAAGTGCTGCTCATGAAGCCAAAGTGGAAAAATTTATTTACGTCAGCACAGATGAAGTATATGGGGGCAGTCTTGATAAGGTAAGCTTATAAAATATGAATTCCATCTATTTATTATGTACTGAGATACAAATCTGTCTCATTAACGCTATGCTGGGCTTTTCTCATACTCTTAACTGTACATACTCATGGCACGTTCCAGAATGTTATTTTATTGTCATCCATTGAAAGTAAACAATGCTATCCCACCTGGGGAATGGCCTGGTCCTGGTAGAGATGTACTCATAATTTGACTGTTTTGCAAGACAAAAACGGATCTTACCTTTTGGTCCCAGGCTTACAAATGTGGTGACTGGCATTCTTACAGACCAATGCATAGACTCTTTAGGCTGCCCTGTACTCCTGCTTAGCTTTCCCTTCCAGCCAGGAAATCACGTTGCGTTCCTTCTAATGTCAAGGAGGAAGTGTGAAATTATTGTAGAAACTGGAATCTAGTCTTTAAAAGAAATAATTCCCAAATATTATACATTTTACACAAAAAGATGATTCCATCCTCCAATCTAAATTTTTCTTTCTTTTAACACATAGATATATCAGTACATATCTATGCTACTCAGTACAGTGACCTTGAAATTAAGACGGTGCTAAAGGAAAGCTCAGAGGAACCTATGTACAACTAATAATTATTGTATATTAACTGTGAATGGTTATTAGCAGTTAAAGGCTGTTTTCTGTATAATTAACTTGATTGTTGTCTGATTTTGTGTCAGATTTAAAATAAAACTGCAGATAGCATGATTTTATAAAGAAAAGAATGCGATTGTTTATATTACTATACTTTTAGTTTCCAAATGACCAATGTGGTTGACCTATAAACTCTAAAGATCCACCTAATCTTGACCCAGTCAGCATACAGTTTTGCTTGAATGAAAGCCTGTTTTTATGCTAATTATAATTTTTACTGGTATTTGTTAGTTATCAGTTTCTAATCTGCGGACTTACAGATGGCATTCCTTTGGACACCTTTCCGTGGTTCTCGAGCCTTTCCGTGTGCTTTCTGTGTCCTTGCTCTTGTAGCTGCATCCACATTCCCTACTGTGGCCTTAGTGACAAACTCTCAAAGCCCCTGAGCGTGGTGTTCTTCCTCATTTTCACACTGTCTCGGAGTGGTCCCCAAAGCCCCATATGGCTCCTTAGTGCCCTCTTGTCCCAGAGTTCAGCTCTGCGGTGACCGCCCTCCCGCTGCCTGGGCTCTTGCTGGGAGAGACTGGGTTAGCAATGGCAGCGGATCCCCGTGGCTTCCCTGCGCAGAAAGCTGTATTTTTCATAGTCGGTGTTTACAAGAAACTTATTTCATTTTATCTTTAATAACTTTTTTTTTCATTTTGCTAAACGTAACATACTGAAAAAAAATAGTTCGAAAAGACTTCCAGTAAGAAAAAGCAAATCCTGACTACATTTTAATCCCCCACCCTGCTTTTGAGAAGCAACCACTGTCAACTCTGCAGTTTTTATCAGGTAAACTTCTTTCTTCTTACACTTCTTCCCCTCAGTATCAGGTCTGACACAGCAGCCAAAGAGAGTTTTAACGCAGAAGCTTGGTATGCTCCTCAAAACCTGCCAGTGTAATATGGTTTCTATGTAGAAAATGTATATAGTGCTTAATTGTTAAATATATGTTTCTACAATTAGGAATTTGATGAATCGTCACCCAAACAACCCACAAATCCTTATGCATCATCTAAAGCAGCTGCTGAATGTTTTGTACAGTCTTATTGGGAACGATATAAGGTACAAACTTATTTTAGAAACTTTTGAATGATGTTACTTTTGACTTAAGTGCTAAAATTCCAAGTCAGCTTTAGTAGTATTTCATTTTTAGGATAAAAGGTGCTGCTTGAAAAACTTAAATATTGATAAATTTAAAATACTAATTTATCACATTGTGTGTGAAATGACAAGCAGAAGCACTGAGATGACACCCAGGATTAGGAGGCGTGTTTATTTTACATTGACAGGCACTGATCATGATAATTCCCAAAACAGCAGGCCCTGATCCTTGGTAGTTTGGGGCTTCTATGGGCTAAGTAAGCAGGAAGAACAGAAGTGCAGTATTTGGCCGTCTTTGATTGGTTCTTACAATATGCATCATAGTGACCAGCTGTGTATCAACCGAGACAGTAGTAACAGAATTTGTAACAGGAACTATTATCTGGACAATGGAAGATTATCGGTGGGAGGTCCATTTTCTGCTACATTTGGACAACAAAAAATTTAAGCTCTTTATGTTTAATTCATCACTAAAGGAATACTAAAAATATATATATTTTCCCTGTTTCAGTGATAGGTAGAGTGTGATAGCTACCGTGAAAACCCTGTTGGAATCCTTTGGAGTAGAGGAAGACAGAGGGAAACCACCCCTTCCTGCCATGCACTTGTCTCTGCATGTTAGGCTCTCGGTTGCTCAGGACCGAGAGGTAGACTTGTCCCTGGGAGTTGTGGCAGTATCACTGCAGAAGCCTTTCCCAATAGGAATCAACTCGAATGCCCAACGTTTGGTTTCCCACTGATCTTTGTGAGTTATTAGGGATGAGTTAGAAAGCCACCCAGAAATTCAAGATTGTTTACCTTTTATGATATAGAGGCACTGCTGTCCGTAGGGGTTGTACAATGAAGAGAGCTGACTTGAAATTTACCTCTAATCAAACTTAAGAGCTCTAGAGAGAGTCTTAAAATGAGCAGGCAGAGAGGTCCTTGATGTCCTGCTATGGGACTTAGCAATCAGCCTCCGTATCTTTTTGTCTTTCCTTTTTCAAGAGAGTGGTCTTCTTCCTTTTGGACCCCATCCTCTTCGGACTTTTTAGGAACTTCACATACAAAAAGTCTTTTCACTCTGTCCTTAGATGTATGGAATTATTTAAGCAAAGGTACCTATATTTTAAAACTGCATATTCTTAACATAATTATTAGTGCTGGAGTTTTCCATTACCTGAATGTTGAACATTCTTTTTAAGTTTCCAGCTGTCATCACAAGAAGTAGCAATGTTTATGGGCCACATCAATATCCAGAAAAGGTAAATTTTGTTTCTGAATTCATAAATGCTTTTTATAGTGTTTGTAACTTGTCCTTTTTTAAAGACAATCTCTAAGGTTATTTGTGTAAAGAAATGTGTAGTCATAATCATGCTCTATGGAGGCCCTATGCAAATCTCAGCAGACTTCAAGACTTGAGTCTGAAGTATCAACTTGATGTTCTCCAGCTGGCATAACTTTGAACTTGTCTTTAAATTGGGAGATAATGAAAATGCTTAGGAAGGATTTTGAGGCTCTAGTGAAATGTTATATGTGAAAATGCTGGAGCCTTCAAACCCTCTGAAGCACTAGAGTATCCACCACCGCAGTCACACTGCGGTTTTACCTCTTAGCTTGCAGACAAGATACCGAAAGTTAACCGAGAGCCAGTTAAAGGGTGATGCAGGAAGCTTGCGCATAAATGTGTCTTAATATCAGCTGCTTAACTGCTCCCTTGTTTATCTTTATTGTTGTGGGCCTGAACGTCTTCCACAATGTAATATATGTAGTGAATAAAGAAATACAGCTAAGTGGCTGAAAATGTCTGTGCAATTGGCTTCCGTATCACTAAGCCGGATTGTAATGACTGTTACCTGCCCTGCATAGATCTGGAGACTGGGTGTTCTTACTTAGCAGCTGTTTGCTTTCATCTGTTTGGTGTGTAATATTAATACCACATTGCTTCATTTCTGAAATAGCCTTAGCAGGTTTAATGTAAATTTAGTGATTTCTTACTTGCTCTGTTTGACATAAATTTTCTTTGAATCTAAGAACACTGTAATTTACTTTTCGAAAGTTGTACAAGCACTTTTTGAGTGAGTCCTAATACATAGAGTGATAAATATGATTCCTGCCCTTAAGAAATCAACACTAAGGCGAGCTTTGTGATGACAGCAAACTGTCTATGAAAAATTTCTTTTCATTTTCCTACTGTTTATGTCCTTTTATTTTCAAGTAACTGGCTTTTGTGAAATAGCAAAGTATCGTAAAGGTTTTTTTTTCTGCCTATCAAATTCAGGTTTTTTCCATGAATCCCTAGTAATAAGAATTATAATTTATTCATATGTATTTCTTAATAATAATTTTTAATCTTAATAAGTTCAGAATCATGTTAATGAATAAATTTCCTAAATCTGAAATAATATTCAAATATTCTTTTAGGTTATTCCAAAGTTTATATCTTTACTACAACACAACAGGAAATGGTATGTTATCATTGACCTTTGTATCTCTATGCTTTTCTATGTTGACAGTGTTTGATAAGTCTTCCTTGAATCATGAAGTCTTATTGTTGAAAGCCACTGACTTGAATATCTTTTTTTTTTTTTTTTTTTTTTGTCTTTTACCTTTTTATCAGTACCGGGGATCGAACTCACGACTGCCTGCTTGCAAGGCAGGCGCTTATGCCGCTGAGCTAAATCCCCAGCCCCTGACTTGAATATCTTACCAAATTTAAGGATTCTTCTCTGTTGTAATATAATTGTTTTGAGGTTAATTATGTCTGTAATTCATCTTTATAATTTACTAAGATAATTTCAATTCTTCAGTGATCTATCATAGAACTTGGAGTAGTAGTATTAAAGTTTTATATATAATTTTACTTTCATCCTTATATAATTTTACTTTTTCAAAGAATAAATTTAATTCACAGAACTAGATATTTCTTCAAAATGAATTTATGGTATAAAGTTAATAAATATTTCTCAGTGATTTGTGTTGGCCACTCTCTTACTGAGTGTCTGTAGGAGGTTTAAATATCTTTTAAGAACTAAGGGTAAAGTTAAAGGTTGTGTGAATTTGTGTTTTCAATAAAAGATTTCTAGGCTCCCTGTGGGAACTGCCTTCTCTGGAATTGTACCCAGTCATTGATTTATTTCAGTGTGGGAAAGCTTTTGTATACTTTGTGATTCCATTTCATTTCATTTGTCTAGCTGTATTCATGGATCAGGGCTTCAAACAAGAAATTTCCTGTATGCTACTGATGTCGTAGAAGCATTTCTCACTGTCCTCAAAAAAGGAAAACCAGGTGAAATTTATAACATCGGAACCAATTTTGAAATGTCTGTTGTCCAGCTTGCCAAAGAACTAATACAACTGGTAATGTATCTGTTATTAAAAGGTACTATTTACACAATTGTCACTAAATTAAGTGACAGTCGATATCAGTAGTTTATGGTTTATTTAATTTAAAAGAGAACACATAGAAAATGAAATTCATCATGATGTGTATCACATGCATCATCTGAAGTTGTATCATTCATTTCCTTTTCAGGAAAAATAAATTCATTAACATACGTACCAGTGACGGCAAATCATTTAGAGATGAGTGTCCAAATTACAACCCCATACCCACTTATTTATTGCAAAGTATCAACACTGCAATGAAACCTGAATTATGAGGTTTTAATTTAGAGCAAACAACTCATACATTAACATCTGCTGTCTTAAAAGAAAAACAACATGCATGCTATAGGCTTGCCACGACTGGTATATACCCTAGTTGAAAGATATGCTTCAGTTTCATGAGTGCAAAATTGTATGTCCTAGAATCAAAGAACACTGCTAAGTAAAATAATTATGAGTGTACATATGTTTTAGAGAATCTCATTTTTAAATTTAAGGTTAATAGAAAGGTGAACTGAGTAGTAACCACAGTCAGGAAAGTACATTTTCCCTCATAGTTCATATAATCTGTGTATTGTTTTTGAGCTTCAAGTGGAAAGTAGATTGTAAATTACAGTGTTTTTGCCATTTCCCCTGCTTTGAGACAGTTGTCTCTTGGGTCTTTTTATAATTAGCTATTAATTACTATTATTATCCTCTAGTCTTATTTTTTAATTTGACTCAAAAACCTTCTCTATTTTGACAGATCAAAGAGACCAATTCAGAGTCTGAAATGGAAAATTGGGTTGATTATGTTAATGATAGGTGAGTAACAAGCTAAAACATTGGGGAAAGGTTATGAAATCTCGGGCACTTACAAAATTATAAAGCATATAGACCTGACTGAAAACTGATTAATCTCTTTTGAATTACCTGGTAAAACAGCCTTTTCCTAATTATAAATGTCATGCAGATAAAGTATAACACTATTACTAGCTATCTGACTTAAAGGTATTGACACTGTCCAAATATGAGTTCTCTCCATTGTGAAATAGAGATGATGATAATGATACCATGCTTGTAAAAGTATGAAATAAGATTTACTTATGGTATATGTAAATTATCTGGCCCAGAGCCTGATGCTTAAGTCCCAAGTTACATTTATTTATATTTATGTATATTTATTTCTTTATTCTTCAAACATTTTTCAGGTTCCCTATGTATGCTAGCTCTAGACTTATACCTAAAGTTTGTGTGAAATAAATTTTTTAAAAAGGATAAATCACAGAGAGGTTTAAGTGTTTGGGGTGTTAAAAATCAAGAATTTTTCCCCCATATACTTTGTAAATTTTCTACAGTAAGCATGTAGTTAAGAGGAATTTTGTGTTTTTAGACTTGAATTATGGTAAAGATGCATGAACATACATAAGACCTCTTATACAAATGTTTGAATTTGTAAGGATGTATGCACAATGTCATTTTAAATATTTTTTTTCCCAAGACCTACCAATGACATGAGATATCCAATGAAGTCAGAAAAAATTCATGGTTTAGGATGGAAACCTAAAGTGCCTTGGAATGAAGGAATAAAGAAAACAAGTACGTTATAAGCTGATCATTGGGAGACAATTCCTTAGTGTTTGAAGAAAACTAATTCATTTTTTAAAACACTATACAATTCACAAAATTGTGATGGATCATTTGCACTTTTGAAATTATTACATTTAACGTATTTTCAACAATACTACTCTACTGTGTTTCTTAAGCATCTTAAATTTCATAGGATGATCTCGGATTAGTCTTTCTATATCTTATTAGCATTAATCACTAATTAATTGATTCACTTTCTTTATTTCCTTGAAAGATATATGTCAGGTCACGTTCTGCTTTAAAAGGTAATACAGATAAGTTTTTAAAAAAGAGAAAGAAAGGTATATGCCTTAAAATCACTGATGTCTCTAAATTGTTGTAACTTTTTCTTTCTTAGCGAAAACTTAGGGCAGCTATTTTCTTTCTTATTTTCTTATGTAAAATAATGGTCAGTCTTAAGGTCAGTGCCATCTTAGATTTGGTGACTATAAACAGTTATAGCCTTTGGGTGTCCTCAGTCATTTTGTATTGAAACAAACAGAACAAATTGAGTATGTACAGGAAAATCTATTAAATAAATGTGAAGTCTGTGCATGTGTGTTAAAAGCTCTACTGTACTTAGAAATACACTCATGAGAAAAGATCTTGATTCCAAATTTGAAATACAGAATACCTGAATTGAATATTAAAAAACGAAATCAAAGATAACTTAAAACTATTAGGTTTTAACTAGAAACACTTCTGCTGATAGAATAACAACATAAAAGAATTTCATCCATTAATAAAAGGAAGCTTACATCATCTCACTATGCCTTTGATATATTATTATCATATTAGCATGAACAAATATTATGATTTTTTCTATAAAGTAATTTTTAAAACCAGTGCAAATCACTTAAGCTTCACTTCACTTTGAATTCCCTAAAATCAGAATGTCTTCAACAGGTTCAGTATTGAAGGATTTTTTAAGTTAAATAGAAAAAAATGGGTAAGTTTTAGTTCTAAGATTCAGGTAACAAAAAGTCTTTTGATTAACTTCATTGTTCAAAATCAAATTGTTTACTTTGTAAGTTAAAAATCAAATTGTCTGCTGATAAGCTAATAGGCAAGACTTCCCTTGCATAGCAGGAATTTAGTAAATGTTGGTTAATTGATTTTCAGTTCTTCACTTTTAATTTTTGTCTTGTTTTTCCTATCAGTTGAGTGGTACAGAGAGAATTTTCACAATTGGAAGAATGTGGAAAAGGCATTAGAACCTTTTCCGGTACAATCACCATGTCTATAATCAGCGATTTTCAGAGAAAAAAGAAAATTATCCTACCTCAACAGGCAATATGCAATCAAGTGACCAAATGACGTGCTTTCTTCTCATTTGGAATTAGATCATAATTTCTTGTGTATTACGTTCGCCTGCAAAATGCCTCAATCCTCGGAAGAGTTTCCATATTGGCATAAGATTCTGGAAGTCAGGGAATAGCAGGCATAGGAAGACTCTTCAGAGGTGAGCCAGGGAGGAATCTTCTGGTTTTGAAACTAAAGGCAGGTGGTGGCTCTGGGTTGGTGGCAGCCAGCTTCCTGCCTTCCCCAGGGTCTAGGAAGTCTGTCTGCAGTTTTCACTTTTAAGCAACATATGATGAGTATCATGCCCTAATTCATCTTTTTAAAGTCAGACATTGTGCTCTAGTTGCTTTAAAAATGGGACAAGATGGAGCTTTTTAACTTTTGCACTTTTTAACTTTTGATAATTTTGTAAAATTTAAGTTAAAAGCAGTACGGAAAGTTTTTATATTTTCAGAATCAGTTGTTGACCTGCAGATAACCTATACCAGAGAATTTTTATCATGTTTTTATGTTTTAAATGATTTTATTTATAAAATTGTCAGTATTTTAATGTATTTAATATACAATGTGGCTTTTAAGATAATGTATGTTTTTATTTTGCTGTAGAAAAAAATTAAAATAATATTTGATTCAGTATTTTAAATCTTTGTCCTAACTACATTAAGGTGACTTGAGAAAGTAACTGATGGGATATCAGGCTGAGGGAAAAAAGGAAACTCAGTGACCCTCTGTGAAGAATGCAGACTTTTAGTGTGGAGGCTTCTTGATTCTGCCTGATAAAATCTGAATACTCTTTGAATGCATTTCACAGCAGGCTCCCACAGTGCCTGGCATCTCCCACTCTACCTCTTCAGTTCCTCCAGTTCCCACCTGGAGAGAAAGGAGAGTAAGTGTCCGTTCTGTCCTGTAGAAGGCAGGTGTAGAGGCCATTCCTAAAAGTCAGAGCAGAAGCAAGACCGGCTGAAAGGAAGCTGTGCAGACAGGGTATTCTACATGGAAGAAGTGGCTGTTGTGAGACCCAAGTCAGCTTGCCCCCAAGGAAATGGGTTGGTTTTCCCTTCTCAACAGTAGTGTATCGGGGTTCAGCATTTGTCTGTAGTGCTACAGGCTGAATGCTCACAGGTGGCGGTCACTAGATTGGCCGTAGGAAGTGATAGTTCCTACTGTGAGTCTGAGGCAGTCAGGGTGGAGATTTGCCTTCACTGGCTTTGGCAACTGCCTCTGGGGTTCATGGAGCACACTTGCAGGTTTGTTGCACTGGGTCGTGGGGGTGTGGCTCTGAGGCCTGTGGGCTGGTCCCTCGCCTCTCCCACACTGGCTCTCTTCCGTTCTGTTTCCTGAACTAAGTATCTTTGGTCCACTGCACCCTTTCATCATGATGGTTCGGCTTGGGAGCCAGCGGACCAGGGACTGAATTTGTAAGCCAGATTAAACTCTCCTTGCTAAATTGTGCCTGTCAAGTACTGTGGTGTCCATTGATGTATGGAGTCCCAAGACTGTGGAAGGTCTCTGTGTCTGTGCCTTCCATGCAGGTGCCCATTGTGCTGGTCCTGGGTTGCTGATGATGAAGACTGGTGGAAGCTAACCGACCAGGTCATTTTGTGTATCGAGTACTTCAGTGTCTTTTTCCATGGTGGTTGCTTTCCAGACATGAATGTGTGCCATACAGATCTTCACACTCCCTCCCCCATTCTTTCCCACGCACCCTTCCACGTGCCTCTAACCCTGTCTTCCTCATTTCTGCTCCTGTGGTCATTTTCTTCCAAGGCCCAGAGTAGAGAACCAGGCTGCTTGCCATGCCTATAACTTAGTGCACATTCTCAGTGCGGATTACTTCTGGGCTTAGTGCGTGACCAGATACACTGTTCAAAGCTCTGTGCTTTGAAAGATCTCCCCTTCCCATTGTGTTATTGTTAAGGCCCCACCAGCATGGCTTGGTTGCAGCCACATAACAAGCTCACCCATTTATAAACTCAGTGTGCTCCTTCTCTGGTTCCTCTGGTTGTATGATACCCTTTATATGACTGCAGGTATTGAGAGGGGAGCACTGACCAAGGTGGTCTCATGGGTGTCTGGCCCACCTTGAAGCTTAGTCATGCCCTCGGATTCAGTGTAGACTCAATCCCACATGTTCCATTTCCATCTTTGTTTTGTTAAGATATGGTCCCATTCTAGTTCATGCTGGTCTTGAACTCACTATTGAGCTCAGACTGGTCCTGAACTACCAGCAATCCACCTGCCTCAGCCTCCCAAGGGTCCATGTCCATCTTACAATGAAATGCTCTGGATCCACTTCACTTTATAAGTAGGGGGTGGCATTGGGTTGTCAAGGCTGCCAGAAAATCATGGAGTAGGTACTGTCAATAACAAATTTAGTTTCTCAGTTTTGGAGGGTAAAGTCTAAGGTTAAATCAAGGGGTCAGCAGAGTTGGCTTTTTTTGAGGCCTCTCCTTAATTTGCAGATGACTGTCCCCTCCCTGTATCCTTACATGGTCTTCCTTTATACACACACATGTCCATGGTTAAATGTCCTTATGTGGACACCAAATGTCACTGGATTAGGACATACTCTAAAGACTTCATTTTAATTTTCTCTTTAAAAATCTTATCTTGAAGTATGATTACCTCTTGTGTGGCATTTAGGATTAGTACTTTACCAAAGGAATTTGTCCAGGTAGGTCAGTCCTTAATAGTCCAAATGAAGTCAGAATACTTCTGAATGCACGGTCACTTGACGTCCCATGGTCAAGGATTCTGTCTACCTGGGCCAGTTGTCTGACAGAAGTGGTATTCCAAAATCATAGAATTCTCCATTGCAGTTGGAATGATTTTTCTTTTGGAGACAGGGTCTTACCATGTAGTTTAGGCTGGCCTTGAACTCACTGTGTAGCCCAGGATTGTTTCAAACTTATGCTGATCCTCTAGCCTCAGCCTCCTTTTATAATCCCCTGCTGGGATTCCAGGTATGTGTCACCATGCCTGCTCAAGAATGGTTTTGTGTGGAAGCCCTGAGAATTATATGGTGATTTTCCTGCTGATGGAGCTCACCATGTAATCCATACCATGTCTCTACCACCAATGCCACCAATGCTGGAGTCCACCAGAACATATAGCCAAGCTGGCAGAAATGCTACCTTCCTAGCTTGACCTTAGAAGAGCTCTGTCCTGCTCCAGGGCCCCCTGAGGCTGAGGGCCTTTGGGTCACTTAGTATAGGGATTAGAGCAGTATCCCTGACTGTAGAATGTGTTGTAGCTGGAAGCCAAAGAGGCCCAAGCCAGTGCTGCTTCTCTCGGTATAAGGCGATATGGAAGAAAGCATGTCTTAGCACACCCTGGCCACTGGGCTCCTGAAGCCTGTACTGAAATGGTGAGTTTCAGAATGAGTATTCATTGGATGTATCTCCCACCTCCTGGGGAGAATCCGAACTGCCAGTGCTACCAGTATGCTGTCCACCACAAACACTAACCCTGCCTGAATCAGCATGATGCTGTCAATGTGAGGGTTCTGGTGACTTCTGAAGTGTGTCCAAATCCAAGTTTCCTAGAAAAACAGAATAAGTTCACATAGCCCTGAGATGAAATTGAAAATGCTTCTAGTTTCTGATCTGTCCCTATTGAAAAGTACACATTGACCAAATTAAAGCCTCAGCCAGCACTTGGTGCACGCCTGTCATCCCAGCACTCAGGAGGCCGAGGCACGAGGATGGTTGGGAGTTCAAGGTCAACCTGCACTACGTAGTGAGACCCTGCCTCAAAAAAAGCCCCCAATACTGAAGACTTGTGTTCCAGAGATGTAAATACCCTAGCTAAGAAGATTCAAAGTGAGCACTGCCATCAGAGAAATTGCCACCTGATTCAACTGGTGTTTGTTCTCCAGGAGCTGAGGATGACGCCACACAGAGAGACTGGTAGAGTGACTGGCAGAGTGAAAACACCGAGTTGTAAATGACAGTGTTGGGGCAATGACAAGCTATGAGGATCATGCTACCACAGAAATTCTCATTAGGTTGTTAGGGAAATGAGAATTGAAAATAATACTTTACACCCATTAGGATGTCTGTCACTAAGAAAAAAAGGAACAAGTGTTGGTGAAGAGGTAGAGAAGTGTTGGTGGGCATGTCAGTGGTGCAGCCATCATGGAAGACAGTTCCTCAAACAGTTAAACAGCCCTACAATGTGGTGTACCAATGCGCCTCCTAGGTATGTATACAAAAGAAAGCAGGGTGCTTATCCCAGTCTCTCTCACAGTAGCCAGAAAGTGGAGACTACAGCAATACCACTGGTGTGTGAATGGATACACGATATGCAGTAGATCTACACAAGGAAACATTCAGCGTGTGGAATTGGGAGGTGTGCTACAGCATAGATGAAGGTCCCTGAGCCAGGACGTTGTGCTAAATAAGCTAGACACAAAAGGTAACAGGGTATGAGCAGACAAGTTCATTGAGACATAAGATAATAGAGGTGAGTCAGGGACCTAAATAAATCATTTAATGTGTGTAAGGTTTCTGTTTAGGATGACAAAAAGGTTCTGAAAGTTGCACAGTTTAGGATGATAAAGTTGCATAACATTGTGAATGTACTTAGTGTCCCTGAATTGTACACTTATTAAAATGATAAATTTTACATTGTGTGTTTTACCACAGTGATGCTTTTTTACAAATGTGTCCCTAGACCTACAACATTGGCATCCCTTGGGAACTTCTTAGAAATGTAGATTTGGGGGGCCCACCTCAGATTTACAGAATCCGAAGTTCCAGGGCCCAGCGTAAGTCTGGTCTTCTCTGATGTTTGAGACCCTCTGCTCTGTACTGTGGGGTGGGACCATCGGCAGCCTGTAGAGGGCCTTGCCTGCATGTAAGATGCTTGGACCTCACCTTGCCAGCTTGGTGCTAATTCAGGATTTTAAGAAAGAAACTGACATTGTCAGATTTATGGATTAAGATATTTTCTAATTGAGGACTAGTATGTGCTTACTGCAGAAAGCTTAGAAAATGAAATCCAAAACACGAAACCACTCATAATCTACCACTGGAAGGAAGTTAACCTCTTAATGTTTTGTTGAATATTCTTTATTTTGCTCTTGGATGTACATGTGCACAGTTTTAAAAGCTAAACATGGAGTTGCCATGGACAGACTGCTTTGGTGCCTGCTTATCTACCCTCAGTAATGCATCATGAATGTTTTTACATGTTAGGAGGATTTTTTGGCCATTTTTGACTCCAGAATTACATTTTTGGTACCTTATTCTGGCCACAGTGCGGAAGGTGAATGTGGAAGTCAAGATTGAGCTCCTGCAGGGCTTCAGCTTAAGAAGGATTTGCAGTAAATCAGGCTAGCAACGGTAGAGCCTACCTCACAGCACTGCAAATGGGTGGTGTCGGCACAGATGTGACCACTTTTAGATTACAAAACTTTCTGACTGATAATACATAAAGATGTCTTTTCTTGAGTGGGGTGCTATTTTAATACTTTAAATGTTGACCTTTAAATGTGGAGATTGGTAAATTACGCTTAGAAGATGTTGCGCTGTGGGAGATGGTGAGCTTGGATGTCCACAAACATCCAAATGGAGACAACTAACAAAACACTGTATGAAAATCAAGTTCAAATGGGTGGGCTGGCTTTGCAATCTAGAGTTA